GGATGGATGGGTGGATGGATAGATGGATGGCTGCATGGATGGATATATGGATGGATGGGTGTATGGACAAGTGGATGGACAGACACTTAGATTGTTCTAGGTTTTCACTTCCTTAACTGGGACAATTGCAAGACATCATTTTCCTACCCTGGTCTTGGAGCTGGTATTTTATTTAAACCTCCACCAACACCAAAATACTCCCCGCTTGGCTCACAGGTGAGACAGAGCCTGTTCTCTCCCTGAGCAGTCCCCAAAACCCATCTGCTCCAGTTATAAGAAAACAAGGATGTCACTTAATCCCCAGTGATGTCAGTCAGGGGACCCTAGACAAAGAGATGCTTCTGCTTGTCTTTGTTGGTGTAGTGGGGCACATTTAATATTTAACAATGCCCTGATAGGGAGCAGATGGGAACGATGCTGGCTTTCAGGACCTCCTGTCCCTCCTGCTTCCACCAACAGCAAACTAGGCAGCCGCTAGGACAAGGGACAGGCTGGAGAGCCACACGGGAATGCTCACCAGGGGCTGCTCAGCCTGATCTGGCCTGCTGGGTTACCTGTTGAGGAGGATCCAGTTGCATTCCTGAGGAATCCTGCACACACTATTGTGGGTCTGGACACCATACTGGGCTCAGGTCTCCACAAGTTTTAAGCATTTATCATTTTTTCCATGGTTCCATCATGGAACGTCCACCCACAAAAGCCAAAAGCTTTGGAAAGATCAAGGATCGAATCCTGGGTACGTGCTGTGTGACCTGGGCAAGTTAGGGTCTTTCTGAGCCCCTATTTTCATCAGCAAAAGGGAGAAAGGCCAGCTAGAAACTGCACTGGGAAGCCAAGTAAGCATGAGCGTGAAGAAGGCTGAGGGATGTCTGGCAGGCTCTCAGGTCCAGCTCAGACCGTGACGGGAAGGGAGCGGGCTCGGGTCCCCGGGAAGGACTGCTCACACGTGGCTGCAGCTTTGCACCACACGGAACTGCAACATTGCTGAGCTACCAAGAATCTTTAGACCCAGGCTGACAGACTGCCTCCAACTCAAAAACACACTCTCTCACTCACAGTAATGTAGGCTGGGTATTTGAATTCTTGCTTTTTAAAAATGCTGTTCTGAGCATTAAAACTGTGAGACTCAGTACCAAGACACTCCTGCAGGGCAGCAGCTGGACAGGCCCGGCCTCCTCCCCGACACTTCTTGGTGAATTGTACTGTAGTTTGCTGGTGGTACTGGGAAACAAACCCAGGGTCTTCTTGTTACAGGCAGCTGAGTTAGTTAGAAATGCTACAGGCAGTGAGGCAGGGCTGGGTCCTGGAAGGAGCCAGTGCAGAAGCCCAGGTACCTTGCAACTGTGAGGAAGACGGACACCTCCTGCTGTGGGCCAGGCCTCGAGACAAAGGATCAACCAAATGCATCCACATCCTAAGGACTGGTCCTCTAAATAGCTCCCTTCACCCTGAGGAAGCCAGGAGTCCCATTCCAACCCCCTAGGGAAGAGTCACAGTGGCTCTAAGAATGCCTGCTTTCTGTGTGACTCACATCCTCATTTGTCCCCAAGGTAATCAGCTTTACCTGAACTACTAATCTTATTGGCTAACCACAGTCCTGCCCCACCTCATGCCCGTCTGCCCTTGAGTTCCCAGTTTCCCCACCTTGAACCCGTCTCACCCCATGATTTCACTCTATAAAATCCCTGGAAAGGACAGAGTCCTTGGCAACCCTCTTGGGACCCCTTCTGTCTCTCTCAGACAGAAGCTTTCTTTCTCTCAATAAATATATTCTGCTCTCAACCTCCGTTGTTCCTAAAATTCATTCTTCAATTTTAGAGAACAGGAACTCATACCGGACATAGTAGGTTGGGAGTTTCATTCCCCTATATCATTCTCACTGAGCTACATCTTCAGCCCTGTTTTTTGTTTTGTTTTTTTTTTTTTTTTTTTCTTTTCTTTTAAACTTTGAGACAAGGTCTCACTAAGTTGTGCAGGGTAGGCTTGAACTTGAGATCCTCCTGCCTCAGCTTCCCAAAATGCTGGGTTTACAGCTGTGAGCCACCACACCTGGCTCCATGATACCTTTCTTTTTTTTTTTTTTAACTTTATTTTGAAAGTGGTAAAATACAACAGAACAAGACAGAATAAAGCCAACTAAGATCGTACAGTGAAATTGGTACAGAACTTCACAGCAGGTTACCGGGATAACAGTAATAGGTATCACAGTATATTTCGTTATCTTTGTAATAGTTGTTCTTTCAATCACGTATATCAAAATAACATGAAATACAGAACATTATAGAACTTATCAAAACAGAATATTGAATAGAGCAGCACCATTAATCAGAACAGAGCAAAACAGTAATAAAAATATTTGCCTTCAAAGAGATGGTAGAAGGAAATCCCCCTTATTTGCTATGGTCAACCTCCCAGGAGATGCTCAGATTTCTGGTTCCCATTTGCTATGGCGGGGAAGTGGGGGGGGGCAGGAAAAGGGGGGTGCGGGAAGTGGGATTTTTGACTCTAGGCTGTGCATCAGTAGGCTCACTATTGCTAAGCAGGGAGGCAGGCTGGTTGTTTGGTTTCACAGCATCCTAAGTTCCAACATGGCGCGGTTTTCAGGAGCTGCTGCTGGTTCTTCCCCTGGAAGCTTCTTTTCTATACTTTATGCAGCCTGCTCTTCTGTGTTTCCTGTCTGGGTTCTAGAAGCATGTGAGTTTATGGACCTGGATCTGGAGCAATTCCCTCCCTGCTAGATGAAGATATTATGGACACCTGAGCTAGGTCTGGGCCCTGGAGGGAATCAGGGCAAAGATGAAAATGCATGACAACTGTGGCCAGAGGTGCGGCCATTACTGGCCAGGCCTCAGGATAAACACAGAATGACCAGGCCTGAGATAAATGGTAACACCCAGTCTAGTGAAGGCTCCATAAACATCAGTCACCCTGGTGTGTGACCAAGACCCTCGGGCTCATCACTTCCAGAAAAGGTCTTTGTTCTTTCCACGAGCCCTAGCTATGTGACTTGATTCTCCATTTGGAGCAGCATCACCTAAGCAGCTACACTTCAACTTATCACTTGGGTAGAGCTGTAACCATGTTGTAGCTGCGTGCTTGTGCCTTGTAAAACTTCCCCCAGAAGTGGGGTCCTCGGCCACCCATTTGAGCCTCCTCCTGCATCTCAGTTGCCTTAAAGATTACGCATCAGTATCTTAACCAGCCTTCATTAGCATTGCTTAGAGCCAATGGAAGGCAGAAGGAAATAGCATAGCCAGCTCGGTACCTCTCAGTACATGAGACAGGGCCCGGTTTAGGTAACAGACAGAATAGTTCTGCGTTCAAGGAGCTGTCCATTGAGTCTTCTATAGAAGGAACCATGTTGCCGATGGACCTCACCTGCTGCTTGTTCCATTTTTCATGCATGGGAACCTCACTGTCAGCTCCATTGCCCTGGTCCATGTGCTGCCTGTGTGCCCAGACCTGAAGGCTTTGCCCACTGTCTGTCTCACGTGGTCACTCTGTGAGCTGCAGGCACAAGTGGGCGTCTTAGAACACAACACCACAGACTGGGGGTTTAATAAATGCCAGAAACTCATTCCTCAGGTTCTGGAGGCCAGAAATGCAAGATCCTCCTGCTTCAGCTTCTCAAGTGCTGGGATTTACATGGCTGCACCACCATGCCTGGTTTACTTAATTGTTTTTACTTCTTTTCTTGTGGGGCTGAGGAAGGAATCCAGTGCTCTGTCACTGAGCTACATTCCAGCCGCTTGACTTAATTCTATGCTTTACTTAGGGATGCTCAGGGCTGGGAAAGAACAAGATTGGGTGTCTGTCACTTCTACACTCACTGTGGCAGTGGTTATGTGGATGACAGCATCGTTTGCCCTGCCCTTAAGCCAGGTTGGGCTGGGAAAACCAAGAATCCTGTGTCCCCGGAGAGGGTGGCATCCGGCCCACCCTTGCTCTTCCCGCGTCATGCCAGCCAAGCCCTTCGGCACACACAGGGAATGGTTAACAAATCCGAAGGTTCAGTCTTCACCACTCAGTTCCTGACACCGAGATAAAACCGGGCGTGGTGGCGCACACCTGTAATCCCAGCACTTGGGAGGCTGAGGCAGGAGGATTACTGTGAGTTGGAGCCAGTTGGCCTACATAGTGAGGTGCCATCTTAAAGCAAAAAGAACATAATAGAGACCAAAACTTTGCTCCTTCCTTCCAGCAGGGAAAGTCTGCAGGTATAATGTTTCTCACCCCACAACCCCATCTCTCTCCTCTCCAAAGGAGAAGGATTTCTAGGCCAACAGAGATGCAAAAAGCCAGGGAGAGTATTATCGGCATTCCTAGAATGCTGGAAGACTTTTAAAAGAATTCTCATGTTGGGGAACAAGTGATAGAAGAGGCAGACCCTTGTGACACCCTCCGCTTGGAAAGTGTTCTCGGGGTGGTGCTGTGGCTGTGCTTGCAGAAGCGACAGACTTCAGGTGTGAAAGCTCTCACTCTTGGCCAGCCGGGCCACCCTGCAGGGCCACCATTGGAGTCTCTGTCCACTGGCATCAAGTCCTGGGCTCACCTGTTGGGTTCTTGGACCTCCCAGGAAACAGGAGGCGGTGCCCCAACTTCTCCTGCATTCCCATTGTATGAGACCCTGGGCAGCAGGTCCCCAAACCTAAGGCCTGTTTGTTAAACAAATGTCACCAGGGCCTTGGTCCCCAGGAACGCAGCAACTGGATGCCCTATTTGCCTGTGAGTTTTGGTTTTCTGGTCAGTTCTGGCCCCATCTCTGCACTCAGTGTGCATTTTGGACTTTCCACGTCTACTTGGCCCAACCCCAGGTCTGGGACTGAGGAGGAGGAACCCCGGGCTGGGCCAGTCACACTGCTACAGCGTTGCTGTCACCAGAGTTGAGCCGTCTGCCTGGAAAGGAGACTGCAGTGACAGTCACCCACCCCCTGAGCCGTCCATCCCTCACCAGACAGCAACCCCTGTGTTCAGAAGGGCAATCTCCAAATCACTCATGGTTTCATAGATCAAAATAGATATTTTTATTTCCAAACATCAAGCGGATACAAAAAAGAAAAAGGAAACCAAGAATAAAAATATAAAACAGCAAAGAAATCAGGAAGCCATCTTTTAGAACACTGCTACCTCCAGCTTGCACCAGAGGAGAGGGCGGGAACTTGCACCTTAAAACACAGTGCAGGCGTGGAGCAAGGGGATCCCTGTCTCCCCTGACGTGAGTGGAGGTGACACAGCTGTTCGCAGACAGTGCCGGGCTGCGATGCTGACACTTTCCGTCCCAGAAAACATCACTGACTGCAAACACTTGTTTATACCCACGGGGCTCTCCCAGGGGACATGGCCCCTCTGCACGCTGCTTCTATGCCAAAACATTTCAGACAGTGGCATTAGCTTCCCTCGGACACCAAAGCCAACTTTGGCAACATCCTGTGCTGTGCCCGCCCCTCACTGTGTCACCGCCTGGTCACACCGCATGAGCGATACTGTGCCGAGTTAGTATGACCTTGTCTTGGGAGCAAAGAGAGGGTGACTCTGCTTGTGCAGACTTGGCTTAGGGCAGAGCAGGAGTGAGATGGGCTGATGCCTCTCATTTGCACTTTGAGGGGTACCAAGTTCCCCGTCCCGCCACTGTCTCCAGAGAGGAAGGCAGACGACACTGCTGACCTGCCAGAGCTGGTATTGTTAGTGTGCCAGGGCCCCCGCAGCATCCCCTCATGTGGGGGAATGTCAGGAGGACACATGGCGGCTCCCACAATAGCCACCAAGTGCTGCACATCCGGGGAATGGTCCCGAGTCAGGGGGGGAATCCCTAGGTTCCCATGGGCAGGGGTCACCGTTGTCCTAATGCCCAGGGCTGGGCCAAGGGCTCATCAGCCATGCTTCTGCCTGGGGGTGTGTGTCTAGTCCATGCATATGCGTGCAAACACACGCACACACAAACATGCACACACACAAACACACAGAGCTTGCGAGCACACACAACTTTCTTGATGTACCCACTCTTCCCCACAAAAGCTTCTGGAACATGGACCACTGCCCCTTGGATCCCCCCAGGAAGGAGCTGGGGGTACAAGCAGGCCGTGACCTCACAAAGCACCCCCTGGGAGCAGTGGCAGGTATCTGTTTTCCAGGTGGAGACTGACCACATCCACCCTGCCCCATCTCTGCCACACTCGCCTGGTGCTCCCAGCCCTCTGAGGAGTGGGGTTAAAGAATTCCTGGCCAGCAGTGTGTGTGGGGAGAGGCCCTGCAGCCCCACTCTGGGGCGGCTCCTCCAACTCCCCTGTCTATAGCCAGAGCAGAGTGGCCAGTATCTCACGACGGGGAAGTTCTGTGCAGTGGCAGAGAGGTCACCTGTGTAGCTTGGAGCCCGCCATCCCTGGCTCACCATCTAGCCGCTTGCTTCTCGGCAGGCTGCTAACCCTCTCTGGGATGTGGCTTCTAGGAGATCACGGCTTCTGGGGGTCCTTCCCTCCCTTTTCAGCAAAGGAGGAAGCTGGGCTGTCAGGCTTCTTCCCGAGGTATCAGGAATGGGTCGGCCTGGTGTCCCTGGGTGCTGAGCTCAGAAGTGAGGATTCTAGAAAGGAAGCCAGCATCCTTCTGGGAAACTGAGGTTCTTGCCATCGCTGTCTCCTGTCTGTGCAGGTGGTTGGGTACCACATGATGTTGCCGTGACAACTGGGAAGCAGACAAGTGCTAGGGGATGCTGAGCACCACAAACTGTTCTTTAAGGCTCTGGGTGCCCTGCTCTAAGATCTGCTTTGGACCATGAGCTTTTGTTTGCTAATGGCCTTTTGAAAACAAAGCTGTCCTTGTTCTAACTTACGTAGGCAGAAGGCATTTCTCCATTACAGGGGGGCAAAGATGGCTGGTCTTAGCGTCTTTGGCTGTGGGCCCCTGATAGAGGAACTCTTGTCTATGGGGTGACAAGGTCCTCTGTGAGATGGCTACTCACTGTTCCTCTCTAGGCTTTGTGGTCTATTAGAGAATGAGGCGCTGTCCCGGAAGAATTAGAGGGTCCCAGGGTGCGGCTCTGGGCTCAGCCCAAAGGACACAGCATAGGTGCAATGTCACTTCGTTCTCCGGCTATGGCGGGGCAGGGTGATGCCTGGCTCTCTCCACCAGAAGCAGGGACATCGAAGCTTCACGCCATGGCATTCCACACTTCTTTCTTGCTAAAACAATCTATTTTGTTGGGACACGGTCCCAGACGCCTGGCAGACGTGGAAGAACTGTGTCACCCAGCCTTGATCAGCAAGATGAGAACAGAAGTCACTGACTGGATGGGGCGTCTGGGAATGCCCCCCACCCCCACCTGGAACCCAGACAAAAAATGAGGTGGACGAGCACCTTGTGTCCTAGGTGTCTGGGACCAGAGGAGAAGAGTTGCACAGCTTTGGTCCGGTGTCTGTGAGCTGAGTCTCTCTCCCTTCCTCTTGCTTCTCTGTCTCTCTCTCTCTGTCTCTGTCTCTTCCTCTCTCTCCCTCAGGTCTCTTGTCTCTTACAAACACACGCACGCACACGCACACACCCCAGGCTGGCCTGTGAGAACCCCCTGTCTCACCCCAGCCCCAAGAGTCCCCACTCCCAAGGCCCGGGAGGCAACGCACACCCAGGTTCCATATGACACCTTTCTAAGTGCTGGTAAGTAGTGCCACCCACACAATGACTGTGCGCCCCCATTCCATGTGCAGCAGGGCATTACACTGGGGAGGCCCCGTCCCTGGGCTATTACATTACAACTGCATATATACACATACATATATATGAAAATAATGAAAATATCATTTCTCTATAAAAAAGTTATACAAATACACAGGCTTTATGGCATTATATCAAAGTTTAAAAATATAGGACATCTCCACCCAGCAGTATACTTCCCGGGGTCCTCCCTCCCAACACAACAGGTAGCACCTGTGACACAGCTGCTGTGTGACTTTCTGTTTTTCTTGTTTTTTATTTTTTTCCTTTTTTGTGGTACTGGGAATCAAACCCAGGACCCTGGCCCTGAGCTACATCCTCAGCCTGGGCTGGCCCAGCGGGTTGGGCTCTGGCCTTGCAGACCCTCATTGTTGCCTGGATTGTGGAGAGGGGGACGCACTCTCTGTCCTGGCCCTGACTCAGGCTGGACCACCCCATGAGGGAGCTCCTGGACTCGGCTGCCTGCTCTCTAGTCTAGGGTCCCCTTGTTCCTGGGCCCAGGCAGGGAGAAAAGGGATCTCCCAGGCCCTACCTTCCTACTTCCAGAGAGGCCCAGCTCCTCCAGGTCCCCTGCCAGCACAAGAATGGGCAGCGCCTGAGACCTGGGTGGCGAGGTCTCTGTCCCTAGGAGAGTGGGGTCTGGGCTGAGGGCCTCAGGGTCTCGGTTTCCCCTCTACATAAGGTGCCTCTTTGTGTCTGCGGCACCGTCCCATTCTGACCTTGGTACAAGGTCAGAGGAAATTCCTCCAGATTTTAGTGGACACTGAATGGACAAGTCCCTCTGCAGAGAGGGCACTAAGTATTTTCTAAAAAGAGAACATTTAGTGTCGATTTGGGGGGAATCTGATCCAGTGGTTGAACCCATGGCTTTTGTACCTATGTATACCTCCAGTTCTTAATTTTTATTTTGAGACAAGGTCTCGATAAGTTGCTAAACTGCTTCCTCAGCTCCAATTTGCAATCCTCCTGCCTCAGCCTCCTAGAGTCCTGGGATTATAGGTTTGTGCCACCAGGCCTGGCTCCAATCTAGTTTTAATGCACTCAGGAGCAATCCAGGGTTCTAGGGCAAGGAGAAACCAAGTTTCTAGCCTTTGGGCCCAGCATGGAGTCAGGCTGGTCCCTTCCCACCTTGCCCAGACCTGGCTGTGGCCAGCCGGGATGGCCTGGGCCTTAGGTGCATGGGGTATTCTTGGCCCAATGGGCCAGCATGATTCCCTTCTAGGAACAGAAAGATGAGGCAGCTCCATCTCAGGCCCTCGGGCCCTCAGTCCCTGGCCCCTGTGCGGCAGGAGCTTGCTGTCTGCTCTAGCCTTAGTGCAGTTCACAGAGGTGACCAGGCTCCCTGGATCCTCAGGGGCTCCCCTTCTGCATGGAAATGAGGCACCAAACCCACCTCCTTCTGCTTCCGCTCCAGACAGAATCCCTGGACAGCCCTCCAACCACTTCTGGAAGGGTCTGTGTCAGAGTGGGGATGCCTGCACTGATCTGCACCCTTAGACAACACCGACTCCTGTCCTGGTGTCCCTCTGTCTCCCTGCTGTCACCCTGCCTGCCTTTGATTGTACCCATCTGTACTTCTAATCCATACACCAAATCTTCATGGCTTAGAAACATCCCACTATGCACGGTGAGAGGCTTCGGGCTCTGGGCCAGGGCCTGCTGGGCTCCTCACTAACAGCTGGGTTAGGGGTCGGCTTCCTCGGAAGCAGCTGCCACCAAAGTGACACGAATTCCTGCTTTCCAGGGTGGCCCGCAGGCCAAGGCATGAAGGCCACAAAATCCCACAGGGGAAGCTGCTTGGGACGTCCCCAGCTACAAACAGATCATATGTAAAATGGTACGTCCTGAGCCTTTACACAGTGAGCATATAAAATTTTGTGCATGTCTCCGGAGCTGCGCACGGTATATAAATAGACGAAGACAACGCTGTATAAAAAGGAAGGTTGTCCCAGGTTCCGCCGGCCGCAGTCTCTACGCCGAGGCAGCTCTGTAGCCTCTGTTCCGCCGTCTCCAGTTCCTCCAGCTGGAGACCTGCGGAGAAGCCCTGGGACTGCTGGAGGTGGGAAGAGCAGGTCACCCACGGGCCTGCAGCGGCCTAGGTGGGTGGGGGGCCGTCGTAGCGGAGCATGAGCATGAAGGAGCTGGCGAAGTTGTTGGCCCGGATGCAGCCGCGGGCCTCCTCCCCGGCCGGCAGCAGGAAGAGCAGCAGCAGAAAGAGCAGAAGCAGCAGCTGCAACCAGAGCGCCAGGCAGCACGCCTTCCGGAGCAGGGAGCACGGGCCTCGCCACCGCCGGGCCTGCGGGACAGACACAGGACATGAGCAGCTCCGAGGGCTCCTCTGCACCCTGGGGCAGCCGTGGGGTGTGCCAGAAACAAAGATCTCTGCTGTGTTCTCAGACCAAGGAGCGGAAGGAAGAAGATAAAGACAATCACAGACTGCACCTGGTGATTCTGTAAATTCCCACCCGGTGTCCAGCGGGCCCCCAGCCACCCCGCCCTGCATCGTGATTGCCCAGACTCACAGGGATGTGAAAGCCAGAGACACCCAGGAGAAGCCACGCTCTGAGCACTGATCTGTGAGCAGGCTACAGGCACCTCCGATGGCTGGGCAGGAGGGTGAGCTGCACCTCCCAGGGGCTTGGGTCACAAAGCCGGAGCAGTGACACTGCAGTGGGCTCTGTGGCTAAGCAGGCTGCGCAGGATGGTGTGTCTGTGACGTGCATTTTCCTCATGTGACCTTTCCAACTGATAAAGACGTGAGCCCACTGAGCACTGCAGACTACTTACTCACTGTGGCTCGTTAAGTCGGTCAAGGTCTAAACCTAGAAGTGGGAGCAACAGTGGTGGCTCCCTGGCAGGGCTGTGGGGCTGGTGAGCTGCACACGGTGGACACTCAGGCTTCTGTCCTGGTCAGTGTGCCTCTTGGTGTCACCGCCACCTAAACCATCCCATCACCATCACCAGGTGGGCACCCACTGCAGTGCGCTCTGCCACCCTGCTTCTCCCCTCCTCTCCCTCCCTCTCCCCCTGCTCCTTTGTGTCATCAGCATGTTTCGTTACCCTCCCCCTCACTGCACCCCAAGGTCAGTCTCACAGGTCCCTGGAGGTTTCTCTGCTGCAGAGCCCCCACCATGGCCGTCCCCCAAGTCCTTCGGGAACTGGCTGGGTGTGGCTTCCTGGATGTCCCGGCCGCCCAGGAAGGTTCACGCCCTCGAAGCCCAGGTGTGGCACAGCACGGGGTCCCTGGGAACCTGCGGGGCGGGCTCCAGTCTGGACCCATCACACACCACTGTGCGACCTGGGGCAAATCAGTGACCTCTCAGTCTGTTCCTTCTCCCATAAGCAGGGGGAGAAGCCCGCCCCACCTGCTGGGCTGTGAGGACTCAAATCCAAGTGTGTTTACACCATGAGGAAAGGGGTGCCGGGTCCCACGCTCAGCTCTAGTACTAGCACCATTAATAAAACAGCCCCCCAGTGCGGTTACTGTAGAAAATATCTGCTGGCTCCCCGGGGACCAAAGACCACCACACAACACTGTCGGTGGCGGAGGTAGGATGCTGGCACTGCTGGAATGGTGCTTGAGGGTGCTGGGGATGGAGGTGGTAATGGTGGTGGTGATGGTGACCATGGTGATGGTGGGGGTGGTGACGATGGTCGTGGTAATAATGGAGTGAAGGAGATGATAATGGTAATGGCAGCAGCGATGATGTCCGTGATGGGGATGGTGATCACGGTGACCGTGATGCTCATGGTGACAGTGATGATGGGGTGGTGGTGGTGATGACAGTGGTGGTGATGGTGCTGACGATCATGGTGATGATGGTCGTGGTGATGAGAATGGTGGTGATGATGTTCATGATGGTGACAATGATCGTAGTGATGACAGCTATCATCATGGTGATGCTGCTGGGGGTAATAACTGCTGGTGATCACAGTGACGGCGATGGTGGTGGTGATAATGGTGGAGATGATGTTCACGGTGGTTGAGGAGGTGGTGACAGTGTCAATGGCGGTATGCGGGAGTATCTGGGGAGCACTGGGCTGGCACTCTGACTTCCCCTCAGATCTAACCACCTCCCCGCTCGCCTGCCTGATGTCCTCCAGATCATCACACCTGACGCTCTGCCTCCAGCCTCAAATGTTAGCACTCAGCCACGTCCTCAGACGCTGGCTTTGTGGAAGCGCACCGTGCATGTCCCACGCAATGAGTAAGTGCTCTCTGCTGTATTTACCCAGCCGTGACTTGCAGAGTGGGAGGGAGGTGACGCACTGTGTAAGCGAGCGCCTGAGTTCCCGGGGGAGGTGGCTGTGTGCCTGCTGCTGACTGGGTGCCACCGGCCCGGCTGCCACGGGGCCGGGGAGGGGGGGTGGGGCTGCCACGGTTTGGGGAGGCCCTGACTTGACTCCTTGACTCCTCGGATTTTGCGAACACTTTGCCTGATGCCAAAGCTGTGACCCACGCCGGGAGAGGGAAAGCAGGGCAGGACAAGGGGTGCCTGCCCACCCCGTCTCAGCTTTCTGCCACCCAAACCCTGTCATTACCAGTCTCGGACCGTGCTAGGGGAAGTCATCCCAAACGCTCCCTGGAAAAACTGGATTGTAACAAGATGCCCAAACACCACAGAAAGGAGCTGTGAAAGTGGGAGCCTTTGGGCCTTGGAAGTGTGCTCAGTCGAGCGGCTCCCCTCCAGGTCTGCCCGCCCGATGCAGGGGAGGTGGCCGCTGTCTGCACTGGCAACTGTCCTGGTTCTCCCAGGGGATGGCAGCATCAGCCGCTTTGCCCCTCGAGTCCAGGAAAGGGGGTGCCACATCCCTGGCCAAGACAGGGCTTTAGTGAACTCCCAGCCCCACTGCATCCTGGAAAGCAACGGTGCCTTGTGTGAGGGGGTGCTGGGCAAACATCCGGTGGCACTGAGCTGGTGAGCACGTGGGAAGCTGCAAATTTAATAAATCTTAATAACTCTGTTTATACAAACAGGCGGGCTGAGGCCAGTGACGTAGCCGAGCTGTCAATTACTGGGGCTTGGAGAGAGAAAAAAAGTGCGGAGCACCAACGGCTCGTAAATAACCAGCCTGGGGCCGGCTCTTTCCTTTCCTCTGTACTAAAAATAATAAATGGGATGTTTTGAAGTTGGCAAGATTACAGCTGCTGCAGACAGCACCTATTTCCTACCTGTCAGCGGGCCTGCGCGTGCAGGGTGCGTACGTGCACACATGCACACCCGGACTATAACAAGAAAATAACCCGAGGACTGTGAGGGTTTGGCCCTGGAGTGGCCCTCTAATGCCCACGTGTCACAGGGAAGTGAGAACAGGCCCAGTGGGTCACGGATCGGAACTGCCAAAACACTGCTTCCAAACAAACCTCTTCTCTTCGTAAGCTGATGATCTCAGTGGCTTTGTCACAGTGACAGAAAGCTGATGGACACGGGCAAATCAGCAAACCACCACGCAAGGAGCCAACCAAGGGCAGATGTCACCTGAACAGTACCACTGCTCCTCTGCTCTCAGGAAGAGAAGCAGAGAGAGTCTGCAGAGGTCTGGGTCCTCCTTTCCACAGTGGCTGACAGTGGCCTGTGCGTCACATGTCACACCAGGAACTTTGCTTCCTTTTAGCTCAGCAGATTCATTCTACGCTTTGGAAGACCAGGGTTAAGTGACCAGCCAAAGGTCTCACACATTCATGTGCTTCCTGAGTCGGAATCCAAAATGCAAAGCAGCTATTCTCAAAGTGTGACGCCAGCTTTCTGGGGTCCCCTGGAACTCATCAGAAAGGCAGATTTCTGGGCCACCCCAGACCTAATGGAGCTGAACCTCCAGGCACGGCCAGCAGTCTGCCTTTCACAAGTTGCCTACACCAGGACGTCTAGGCGGCTCCCTTCTGCACAGCAGGCTGAGGTCCCCTAGCCCAAAACCAGCAGCCCCAAGCTGTATAACCCACTTGTGTTAAATGTAGCCTGAAGAAGCACATTTTACAGCCACCTGGCGCCTCCCTAATGTATATACCAGAGTCCTGCCCAACACCGCTAGCCACAAATGTGCTGAGCCTCAGGGTTACGAAGCTCCCAGCCACTGTCACTGTCCCCCAGCTCTCAGAGCAGAGCCTCCCCCTGTGCTGTGGGTGGAGAGGCCGCCGTGATCCCCCTCTCTGCCTGGCCAGGTGGGCAGTCTAGGGGCACAAACTGCTGCTTTCTTGCTCAAGGAGGTGTTCTGAGTGCCTCAGGCAGGACGTGGCACCAAGTCAGCACCCAGTACCCACTGGCAGAATGAATGAGAGAGAGAAGAGAGAGGAGGGGAGAGAGAGGAGGGAGAGAGAGAGGCGGCCAGTGAACACAGCACACCAGCACATTTGTTCCAGCTGCACGGACCTTCAGCCTGCTCCAGTGTCACCTCCCACCATAGTGAATCCCCACCCACAGCCACGGCAGTGTTACTTCTTCCTGTCGTCTCTGCTGGCACGGCTGCTGCCCACCCCACAGCGGGGCTCTGAGCAGTCACAGCGGGCAAAGTGGAAACGCCAACCCAGTAGAACAAGGCCTCCTCCACCCTCCCCACTGTGTCCCGAGAGCCAGCACGCCCCTCCGTCACCAAGGCGGCTGGAGCCAGCCGTCCCTGGGAAGGTGCTGGTGACACCCGTGGTCTCAGCCATCATTAGCAGCACCCTCCTCTTTTCCCAACATGTGTGTCCCCAAGCGCTCAGGGCTAAGAGTCCCATGTCCATCATGTCCTCTTTCACAGCTGCATACTCTGCATGCCTCTGCCAGTCCCCTCTCCACACCTAGGCTTCTGACTCCCCCCAAACACCCCTTCGGACTCATGGAAACTTCTGGAAAGCCCAGCACCGACCACCAGCTCTCCAGGCATGCCACCCTCTAGCCGTGCGAGCAGATGGCGACTCTTACCGTCTGGAATGCGCTTGACTCCTCTGCAGAACTCTGCAGCTGAAGGAGGGGAAAAACGGGAAAACAAGAGAAGTGAGCAAAACGCAAATCCCAGCTGAGCCGGTAATGGAAATTCATTTTGTCAAGGGAGTGTTTCTCTAGAATGTCTGGTCATCTGGACAGCCGCGCCAGCAGGGCTCGGGTTTAACGAGCTTTTTAACACACTTGGGGCCGCTGGGAGCCGGTCTGCGGGCCTCGTCTGGCCGGCTGTGGCTGCCGCTGGCTGGGGCTGGGCTGACACCTAGTGGCTGCTTCCGGGCCCAAAGAGCCTGCAGTGTTGGAGCTGAGCTGGAGCTGAGCTTGGAAAGGACCGGCCTTAGCCCTGTGGCCCTCTTGGACTGGGGATGCTTCGCCTGTGTACCTCTGGTTCCTCATTGGTTCAGGGAATAACAGCTGTCTGCTCTGTAGGGCTGACATGAGGACACAGCACCCCACGAGGGTTATTATTACTAGTGGGGCTGTTGGTATTATTTACATAGTCAGCACAGGAGCCAAGAGGGGAATGTGTATACTCAGAATCACGCAGCAGATGAGCAGAGAGGTGCAGGTGGACCCCAGGGCTCCTGATGCCATCTGTACCTGCCCTGCTCCACATCCACAACACAGGTGCGGGTTCAAGGCCAGCTCTGAGCCTGCCTGGCAGTGTGATCCTGGGCAGGCATTTCGGCCTCTCGAGGTTTCTCTCTGGGGACAGGGATGCGGCTGCCCTGGCAGAGGTGGCCAGAAGAACTGAGGTGATCTCCAACAATGAGCCCAGAGTGGCAGGAAGCAAGCGCTCTGTATGAGCGGACTGTGAGGTCACCGTGTGTGTCACGGGGATGCTGGCCTCATGAGGTGAGAAGACCAAATACACAGTGTCAGTCAAGTGCTGGGGACCTGGACCTCCGTATGACGGAGTGGCCACCTCAGCCTGGTATGCGGGTGCCCAGCACCGAGCGCTGCAGGTCATGCTGTCCTCCCTTGTGTGAGTTGGTCCCAACCATGGCCCTTCCCGGGGCTCAGCACCCACCAGCAGGTGGCCAGCATCCTTGAGCTTGGACTTGTACAGCATCCAGCGGTAGCGCAGGTCTTCTAGCTCCTCAGAGGCAGCTCCCGAGGGCCCGAGATGAAGGACATCCTCAAAGAGACGCTGGCCTTCTGGGACTTGAGCCTGTAGCTCCTGGGGGGAAGGCAGTGTCACAGTGCAGCCCAGGTGGCCCAAGACACCTCACCTGGCCCGTGGGACACCAATCAATTGCGACTTGGCAGAGAGGAACAGGTGTGGCAGAAAAACCGAGGGACCGTCATCAGTACAGATTCAAACCATGGCTGGTGGCTGCTCACCAGAAGGACACAGAGCGCCTCCTGCAGCTCCTGACATCCAGGGCCACTTTCTTCTGGAGGCTGACCTAGGGTCGCCACCATTATAAAGGGGATCACAGGGGAATGTGCCTTGCTCTTGGCATTGCCGAGTGCGGCCAAGTGGTGTTGGATAAGGCAGGTATTTCTGTCAAAATAAGAGTACTGTGTTCACCTTAGACTCAGGGCTCCTACAGATAGTGTGAGGGGGCGGATGCGGGCTCCACATGCAGCAGGCTGGGCTGAAGCCCTGTTTTTGTGCCTGGCTCATGAGCCGTGCAGCATAGAATTCCGTGCATAGCTGCTCAGCACCCACTAGAATGCGAGCTGGGAAAGACCAAAGGGGCCGAGTGAGGAAGCTTGGGGTCTTTCTGACCCGCTGGAGGTGGGCAGAGGTGTGGCATGAGGGGTGAGTACCAAATCTAGGCAGCAGAGGTGGTTGGGAAGGACTTCCAGGGAACAGGCAACTAGGTAACTGGATCAAATCACTCCCAGAGGATGGATTATTAAAAATGTTTCAGAGCCAGGGAAGAGCTGATGAAAGAGAGGTCATCAGGCTGGACCTCGGGAAAGGGCGGCTGGAGGTACAGCTCCAGGGCAGAGCACAAGGTCCTGGCTTCCATCCCCAGGACCCCCAAAAGCAAACCCAAATAACACTGGGAAAGGATGGGGGTCTGGAGGAGGAAACTCTGGGTCCAGCCTGCTTTCGCCCCCAGGACAGCAGCTGCAGAGCAGATCTGTGCTTGTGGTAGACTCACAGAGGACGGACATGAAGGACAGTCTGGGCTCTGAGAAGCCCTCCTCCTTCAGCTGAGACCCTACAGGCTCCACCCTCAGAGCAGGGTGAACCAGAAGAAAACCTGGGCTTGTGAGGACCCGCAGCCCAGCTCTAGGTCAGCTCAGTGGTCCAGGCAGCTACGAGCCTTGATTTGGATCCAGTAGTCCCACAGTAATAAAGGCCCTGCTTCTTGGCCGTGGCCAACAAAATCCCTCCTGGAAAAAGAGATTATCCTAAATCCCCGACTACCCTTATGTGTATTTTGTCAAGCACAATGTCCAGCACACAATCAAAGCAGCCACCTATAGACACAAGACACCAAGGACAAGAGAAAGAAAAAATAACACCCACAGAAACCTTCTGAAAATGCCTCGAGACCCAGAATTACAAGACACTCTATGAAGCAGCTATGTTCACTGGGTTCAGTGAATTTAAGGCAAGCTTAAACATTTCAGCAAGGGCCTGGGAGCTAGAAAGGTGACCAAGAAAACTGTCAAGAGAGCCAAATAGAAATTCTAGATCTGATCATTACAATAACAAACATTAAGAACTCGACAGAAACACATAATAGCAAGTAAGACACTGTTAAAAAGAATTAGTAAGCTGGAAGATGGACCAGAAAAAGATGCTCGGAACCCAACGTGAAGAAACAGTAGGATCAAAAACACACAAGAGCGGCAGAGTCATAAAGCTCACAGTGAGAAGGAATCATATTTGTTTAAATGATATCGAAAGAAAAGAGAAGGTAACAACTTTCCAGAAAGACCCTAGACCATGGACTAGGGTCACTAGGGTCTGTGAGCCAATAAATCCCTGCTCATTAGAAATTACCCGGTTTCCTACAGCAGCACAGATGGACGTGGGTAACCAGGGGCAGCAGTGAAGTGGGGGGGAGTCAGGGCAGACTGCGGACAGATATGACCCTGGCCCCCCACCCCACCCCCATCCCCACCCCAGCCATAACCTTGCGCTTGGTGACACGATCTTGGTGTCCCTTTCACCAAGAGGGAGCCTGTTTTTCCTTCCTCTTGAGTCTGGGCTGGCTCTGTGACTCTCTGCCTAGGAGTTATGCAACCTGGTTCAAGTCTAGGCCTACAAGTGCCTTGCCTGCCTCTGCTGTGTCCTGCAGGAGGATGAGTGAGGGAGCCCAGCAGAAGCGTCTTGGCCTGTTGAAATGGGGAAGCCAGGCTAAGCTCAGTCTAAACTGCCAAGAGTCACTGTCACAGGTTAAACAGCTCTTGTTTTAAATCGCAAGCTATGGGCTGCTTTGTTACGCAGCAACAGCTAACTGATATACAGGTGTCAAAGGATTAACAGTAAGGTTTTCTGAGTGGGAGACAGAGACAGAGGCTGAATGGATGAATGCGAGGGGAAGTTCTAAAATATAAAATCATTATTCATATGCAAGTGAGAAAAGCTCTCAAATGATCGATCGTATATACAGTGCTCCCTTGTTTGAGGAGCCCCTGGTGGAACTGGGTGTGGTGACACATGCCTGTAATCAGCCCTAAGGGAGGCTGAGGCCTGACGGTCTTAAGTTCGAGCTCAGCCTGGGACAACTTAGCAAAACCCTACCTCAAAATCAAAACATAAAAATGAAAAAAGGCTGGGATGCAGCTCAGTGCAAAGGCCCTGGTTTGATCCCCAGCACCACCAAACAAAACACCACCGTAGAACTCCCTAGGCACCAGCCCATCTAAGGGGTGCCAACCCCAGGAGAACACACCTGCAGCTTTGCCTCTCTGGTCCTCACGTCCTTGGCCGAGGTGACTCTCATGGCAATGATTCTGACCAGCTTGGAATTTTCCACCCGCAGCCACTGCTCAAAGTTCCTCAGGAGCTGGGAGCCATCTTCAAAGCCGCCTTCTCCTTCCTCCAGCAGATCTGCCTACAGGAGTCACATGACCAAAGTGACCGAGGGAAGCAAGGCCCATAGGCCCTGGGTCCTGGGGAGGCCACTGAGGCTGGAGGGATGAGGACAGGATGCCCAAGGGTGTGGGGGAGGCTGGTGTGAGGGATGGGCCACTGCCACATAGGGGCCAGGAGCATTCCTCGCCGTCACTGCCCTGGCTCCCTAGTGGACGTCACTACCCTCTTCCAGGACGGCCACCCAGTGAACACCCTTCCACCAGGCTCCTGCCAGCTGCCGGGTTCGGGCTCTGCCGGCCCCTGGATGTCAAGCTGCCTCCCTGTCACCTGAGCTGGAGCCTGCAGACCTGTGCTTCCTCCCTCTGGGTCTTTCCCCACTGTCCCCTCTGCCTGGACAACACCTGGCTCCCCTCTTCCACTGTCACAGATCCCCACTGCTCCTAGAAGGACTTCCCTGCCCGGGAATTAGGTCACAACCAGTGACCCAACTCTACTCCAAGCTTTCTTTAGCAACGAGGTCATCTGCCAAAGACCTGGAGCACAGTCCGAGGCTCCTCAAGCTGTGCCCCAAAACCAGCAGCTTGAGTGCCCCCGGGGCACTGCGAGCAACGCAGAATGCGTGCTGTGATCAGCTGTACTGGGTCTGAGAACCTGTCTGAGATCAGCACGTTGTTCACGGGCACCCAGGCTCCAAGCCCCGTCCTGGGAACAGAGTAACACTCAGTACGGGTGCTTTGGAGGCAATTCTGCATCCAAATGCACAGGGGATGAGGGAGTGGGAGAGCAAATAATTTGATTCTTTTTGGAGACAGGGTCTCACTCTGTTGCCCAGGCTGGCCTTGAAATTCTAAGCTCAAGAAATCCTCCTGCTTCAGCCTCCCAAATAGCTGCATAGGCATGTGTCATCATGCCCGGCTTGACGGGATTTTTTTTGAAGAGTAATATTCTTTTCAGCATGGCTTAACTTTTCAAAGGTCACAGGGGAAGGTGATAAAGGACACCACGCAGTTTTCACAGAACACAGCCACATCCCCAGAACACACCCTCCTGGGAGACCTTGGCTCGCAGTCTGGGGTCAGGAGGAAGGTTTCCACCTCCTCCCTTCCTGCAGGGGTGGCTAGAACTGCACAGAGGCGAGGACCAGCACAGTGTGACGACCTTCAGAGATAACCTCAACCTGCCCAGGGGCCCAGCTCTGCAGTCGGGGACCCCTGAGGTCCTCTCTGCAGTGGCACAAGTGCTCCAGGGGCCACAGCTGGAGCAAATGAGAAAGGAGGGCCCACGTCCCAGGGCTGGGCGTGGAGGTGGCTGAACAGAGACCCCACCACGTCTTAGGTTGGATCCGACACCTGTGCAGAAGGACCACTACACCGACGCCCGGGGACAGGATCCAGGGGCTTGATGAGAAAGCCCGACTTTGGGATATTGTTGGTGAAAACCAGCTTCTTTCCGGAGTCCACCTCTGAGCTCTGCAGCTGCCGGTTTCGGATGAGGCTGGGAAGACAAAGCGTGCCCACTCAAGACAGGAATATGACAGGGACTCCCAGGGTCACGGAAGAAGTAATTACATTGGGACCGCAAGGTGGCAGGAGATTTTCCGGTCTCAGCAGCCATTAGGCAGCCCCAAATGCCCGGCTTCTTCCTCTGAACCCAGCTAGCTGCCCTGGCACGAAGGCGCAGATGAAGAAACTGAGACTCGAAATCTAGGACCCTTCCCAGCTCCCCCCACCCCAGCCAGCATCACCCTCTGGCCCCAAGCGTGCAGATGCCCACGGATACCTGGCACCACTCCCAGCCCAGCCCGTGGGGGCGCTCTCACCTCAGCATCTCCTCCTCCAGCAGCCGCAGGGCCCGCCAGGACTCTGCCAGCTCCCTCAGCTCCTCCTGGACTTCGGCCGCGCCCTCTGGAGAAGACTTCTCCATCACTAACCGGCCGTGCGCCTCCACCAGCGCCAGGCTGGCCTCCTTCTCCGGGAACTCAGCCACCAGCTTCTGAAGGACAGAGATGCCAGATAGTGTGAGGTGTCAGGCTTGGGGGCATCTCCTTCCCCTTGTGGGAGCTTTGGCCAACGAAGCCGCCCTTCGTGGTGGTGTGGGGCCCAGGGCAGGAAGTCACCGTCTCACCTCAACCCCAGCTTCCCGAGACTCAGCGTTCCACAGGCCCAAGTCCCCTCGGTGTGATTCCAGTGTCTGTGTGGCCACAGCGACCCACTGCTGCAGATCCATTAGCTGGTGGCTGAAGGTGCAGTGCTCCCGCACGCTCTGCTGACTCCTGTCCACAAGGTCCTGTGGACACCCAAAGCCAGGGCTCTGAGCCATGGTCCAGGCATCACCTCAGCCCTGTAGGATGTCCAGGCCACCTGGACCCTCCCCCCAGCCCCACCCAGCACCAGGCCACAGGCTGGGGCCCAGCACAAGGGCATCACCCAGGAGTCCACCTCTGGTTCAAGCGCCAAACCACCAAGGCCAGACAAGGGTGGACAATCGTGGCTCTCGACCACACCTGGGCAGCGTGGCCTGGCACAAGCACGTGGGCAAACTGTTGTCAGCATCTGGTAAACCTGACCTCTGACCCAGCCATCACCCCCCTGGCAGGTGACCCTGAGCCTTTATCCAAAGACTCCTGTGTGGTGTTGCCTGTCACGACAGCTTCATGCTGTCTGCTGACAAAAGACCAGGAGGGAGGGGTCACTCCAAGGGGTCAGTGTGGTGCCACATGCAGTGGGTGGATGAATTGATAGCCATCCCCGGACAGCAAGAAGCCACACCCTCAGGAAAACAACCTATCCTGTTCCATGGGGGTGGGCAGGAGCGGTCAGGAGCGGTGACAGTGACTGGCAGGCACGGGGCAGGCTGGTGTGACTGCATTTTCCCTGGGCGCCGTAAGCATGGACCTGTCTAATGCTGTAAGTTTGCTCTTCTGCACAGGACTACACTTCAGTGAGAAGCTTCTGAGCCCGCCTTCTTTCCATTTCCTTGGGCCCATCAGCTGCTTGGCCCTTTGGCCTGAGCCTTGTTCCTCTGTCCCCAGGAAAGGTGGGCACCGTACCCAGAAGTGGGTGGCCACTCTCCATCCTCCTGGTCGTTCTGCCTGGACCCTCTGGCACCAGGGACTGCTGCCCCCATTTCCCAGCCCAGGGCCTCGTGGTGCTCGGCCAACCATGGAACATGCACTGAATCTACTCTGCCAGCGGCGTGCCCTCAGCCCATTCTTCCCCAACCATGGTACTGAGCCCGGCCCAAAGGCCCTCAGTGCTCCCTGCTGCACAGAGCTGTGACCTGGCCCAGGGCACATGGCTACAGAGGCAAGGCCACTGCAACTCTCTTTAAGTATCAAGTATCAAAACAACAAGGGGCATTTTCTCCTTAAAGAAGGACCAAAAGCATAAATCCAGAGGACCATGAGATTAGAACGTCACCATGACAACCCTATGATGCTCTCCTAGGGCCGCTACTTAGCCAGCTTGGCCTGGGAGCCCACTTTGCAGCTTTGGGTTCCTGAGGGTGGGGGCTGCTTCTTCTGCTCTACCCCCACCCAAGCCCCGGGGCCAGCAGCTGCTCATGGGCTCAGCGGAATCAGTGACCAGGCCCCGTGTGTCACTGAGACCAAGGGGCTCCATGGGTGGGGCTGTTTCTGGAGAGCAGTGGTGGGCAGTACAGCTGCTGTGGGAAGGACAAGGACAGTGCCTGGGGCTCCTGTGGCACCAAGAAAGGACAGCTGGACATTGCAGAATTGCCCTGCACCCCACAGACAACCTCCTGCAGCGCCGGTCTCCAGGGGTCACAGCCTGCTTCTTCTGTCTGGGCACAGGCTCCACCATGGCGAGCGTGCAAACCACAGCCAAGCCCACACAGTTTTACACATTTCTGAAGCCTGCATCCCAGCTGGTTGTGCCATCATTTATGTGGTAGTGAGCAGAGGGCAGTATTTTTTTTTCCTTTAAGACAGGATCTCACTGTACAGTTCAGGATGGGCTTAAACTCATTATGCAGCCCAGGCTGCATAATCCTCCTGCCTCAGCCTCCTGACTGCAGGGGCACCTTCTGACCATATCCTAATGTCTTGAGCCCCTGCCCTGGCTAGAGAGATCACATGACTTTTATCCAGCTCTCTTGTCTATTCTGAGTTGTCTGTGAATTAGAATGATATGATCTGTAGGTTTCAGGCCTGTAAAGAGGTGCTGGGCTAAAGCCTGGTGTGTGGAGTCAGGGGTGGAGAATCCCGAAGGGGGTTTCCCTGAGGTGTGGCTCCCGCAGCTCACGCAGCCAGGCCTCCATCCCCTTCAGTCCCTATGTCGGGCCTAGGGTCTGCATTTCAACCTGTCTCCTGCCAGTTTGCAAGGAGCCTGGGGTTCCATTCCACCGGAAATGCGATCAATCCTGCGTGAATCCAAGAAAGTGCTCAGGTGGCCACTAGAGGGCACTGCCGGCGCGGCTCTGTGGCGGCCCAGGGCTGGGGAGCAAGTGCAGAAGGCGCCAGGATGCGCTGCGCTGTGTCTCCCGGGCCCTTGTCACAGAGCAGAACCGAACCATTCATGTCACCACCGCCCTCAGCGCCTAGAACAGTGCCCAGTGTGTAGGCGGCACTTAATACTCATGTTACATAAATAAGGAAGGAAGGAGGGAGGGAGGGAAGGAAATAAAGGGGTCAGAAAGCACAAAGGAGCCAAGTGTGGTGGTGCCCCACCTGCAATCCTAGCATTTGGGAGGCTGAGACAGGAGGATCTCCATGAATCCCAAGCCAGCCTGGGCTACGTAGTGAGATTTTCTCTCACCTCCCATAGCTACCTGCTTCCCCCATCCAGCCAAAAAAAGGAATGAGAGGGAGAAAGGCCCCAGGCATGTAGGATTCCGGGCCTGGTCCTTCCTCCAGACCTTACCTCCAGGGACCTGCGCAGGGCCCCGTAGTCAGAGCAAAGCTGGTCCAGTTTGTGCTGGTGGCTGGAGTCCTCCTGGACAAGACACTTCATGGCCTCTACATGCACCTCCAGCTCCAGCCCCTCTTCCTGCAGGCCCTGCAGTGGAGACAGAAGTGGCATCTTTCGCCCTGCGGCTGATGATGACAGGAATCTGCGTGCAGGGTCTCGGGATTCAGTGTGGTGCCCCCTCCACCTTACACCTGTGGCTGAACCACATGGCTGGTCTGCTGGGCCCACTCGGGGCTGGAGGAATTTTAAAATCAGATGAAAATATTATGGAAGGGCCAGGCATATAGCTCAGTAGCAGCAAAGCGCCAGCCTGCTAAGCAGGAGGTCCTGAGTTCAATTCCCGGTTCTGGAAAGAAAACAGTTCTGGAAATGATGAAAATCAGCTTTGTGCACAGCCAAACGGCAACTCGGGGGACAGATGCCCAACTGGACTCCTATGTGGTGATCACCTCTGCTAGGAAACACACCGCCCCAGTTTCAGCTTTAAAGCCCCACATATGACATGTTCAGTATCTCCCAGCGCACACCCTGTTTATATGTGGGCGTGTGCTTGGGTTTTAAAAGGATAATCACAGTATTGCATGCATTTTAAAAAGCAACAAGGAGCTAAGAGCCGGGTTTGGTGGCACACACCCATAATCCCAGCACTAGAGAGGCTGAGGCAGGAGGGCAGCCTGTGACTATCCAGTGAGTTCAGGCTGAGCTACACAGATAAACCCTGTCTCAAAAAACAGGGTTTTTATCGGTACCAGAGATTGAACTTACAACCACACACTTGCAAGGAAGGCGCTTATGCCGCTGAGCTAAATCCCCAGCCCCAAAAGCCATTTCTTTATTCAGCCAAGAGCAGTGATCAGCTCCTTCACCGTCCCCAGGTGTCTGGAACATACGTTCTCCCTCTCAGGAGGGGCTTATTCAGCGGAAGGCCTCTGCAGTCTTAGGGAGCATCAGTGAAGTCATTTTAAAACTAAGCGCTGTTAGACTTTGGAACTGAGGGGGAAATGAAAGGGCGCGTATTATTTTGCTAGGGCCAAGCCTCGGCAGTTCTGTTCATTACTTCATATCATTAATATGTGCGAGCAATTGTAGCAATAATAAAAAGAGAACCAGCAGTTCTGGGTGCCTAAGGCCTGCTGAGGCCGAGACCATCAGATACACAGGAAGTCAGCGCCAAGCCTCAGCCGCAGCCGCCGCTGTCTGCCGGCCACAGGAGGGCGCTGCTGCTCGGTACACTGGCGCCCCTTACCTGCAGCCGCAGGAGCTGGGTCTGCTTTGCTGGAAGGTCCCGCTGAAGCCCTTTCTCAGCTTGGAGCCTGGCCTGGAGGTCCAGCAGCTTCCTCTGCAGGGGCGCGAAGGCAGCTCCGAAGTCTTTGTGCTGAGCAAGTAAACCCTGGGGACAGAGGACAGGAAGCCGCACCTTCAGGGTGCCCACAGGGCCTGGCGCTTCTGCTGGCCAGCTCCTGCTCCAGTGCCCAGTGTGTAGGAAGCCCTGCCTGAGCCCCCGGTGCCTTGGGCTCGGGTGTAACGCTTTGGCCAAGCCCTGTTAGAACAGTAGAACAGGGCTAGCACCCCACCCCCGTCTGTGTAAATAAAGCTATTTTGGAACACAGCTGTGCCCATCCATTTTCCTGGCTGTTTCCCGACCCAGGGGCAGCAGAGCCTCCCCAGAGCACCGGCCTCTGGGGCCCGCACAGGTAGCCTGGGCTCCTCCCTGCCTGCCCGCTGCCCTCACCTGCAGCTTGCCCTTCCTCTGCAGGAGGCTGCTGTGCAGCGGCTCCCGGTCCTGCATGCAGCCGGCCACCTGCGCCAGGAGGCCCGAGGCTCTCTCCTGGCCGAAGATGCCGCTCAGCAGATCCGACTTCAGTGGCAGTGCTGCCAGCTGCTCCTTCAGGCGCGCGCTTTCTGCCAGGGCCGCCTGCAGAAGAGGGGAACAAGGCATCCCTGAACAGCGTGGCAGGGTCCGGAGAGCCGGGAACACCGGCGGGGCTGGTTACCACCATGGGGTGGCCGCCTCTCAGGGCAGGCTTGGGAGGAAGCTGCAGACTGGGGCTGGTGGAATGCAGGAGGCCCTGAATTCATGGTCCACCCACCCTTCATCCATCCCATTCCCAAAGCCTGAGTAGGAATCTACCGCCCTGTATCACCCCTTCCCCCTTCCAGGGTGGTGCACAGCTGGGGAGACTGATCCCCCATGACTCAGGGAGCCTTCCTGGAGGGGGTGACTTCTCCGTGGGCTGCTGCTTCACTGATGCTTAGGAGACAAAGAGGGGGGCTGTCGGGACTCAAGCCACTCGGGTCACAACGGTGGCCTCCACACAGCCTGAACTTGCACAGCCCAGGGCCACCTCCTCCAGAAAGCCGAGGCTGACCTTATGCCAGCCCCATTCACACCCCAAAGCCCTTCAACCCCCTGGGTACCTGCTGCCTCTCTGGCTGTTCTAGGTATGAGTTTCTGGGTCTCTAACTGATGGTCTGGCACCTGCACCTGGCCTGCATCTGCCAGACTGAAGATCTTGATCACAGTACAGAGCTAGAAGCAGGTCAAAGACCCCAGGCCAGGCAGGTCGCTGCAATCCTGGGGGAAAGTGGCTGTGTTCCTAAGCAACGCCTGACCAGTGCTGGGGGTGCGTTCAAAGTAAAGCCAATCAGAGAGGGCTCCCTGGAGGAGGTGGCATCAAGACAGCCCTCCATGGGCGGGCAGTTCCTGGAAGGAGCTCATCGTGTACACAGCTGATTCAACTGCACTGGGGCCTGACAGTGAGGACCTGGGGCCTCTGATAAGCCACGCGGGTCAGCGTCGCCCTCTGGGGGAGTCACGTCCACCCCTTTATCCAAAACAGGTGCTGGATCACAGGAGGTAAGAACCCGGGCTGGAGAGTGGTGAGTGTGCATTTGGATGGTAGGTGAGCGGGAGGCCTGAGGCACTGCGAGCCTCAGTTTCCTCTTTTGTAAAAGAGGCCCAGATCGTGGGATTGGTACAGGGTTTCAATGAGACACCAATCACATTGGACACATGCCCATGTCCAGCACACGCACAGGAGGGACACTCCCCAGCCACGAGTGGCAGGCCTGAGTCTCCCCAGAAAGATACAGTGACAACTGAACCCCCACTGGTACCTCGAATGTGGTCACAGCCCACCTTTCAGGGCTCAGTGTTATAGTTCCGGAGGGGCCCAGAGAATCCACACAATCCTGAGGCTGAACATAAGGACTGAACCAAGGAACAGCCGGCCGCGGTGTAACACCAGCACTCTAGGAGGCTGAGGCAGGAGGCTTGGGAGTTGGAGGTCAACCTGGGCAACTCAGCAACTTAGACCAGAATTTGGAAAAGGGCAGGGACGTAGCTGGGTGCAAAGGCTCTGAGTCCAACCCTTGCAGTACTGGCAAACTGCGCCCCAGCTGTGGGATCCGCTTCCCTACAGGCAGGACAGGGTGCTGCTGTGGGACATGCCTGCACACAGAGGCCAGTGCCAGCCAGGCCAGTCCAGGCCCCGGCCCCACCTGCAGCTCCTGGGCACGGGGCCCTGGGCCACACTCCAGAAAGACTCAGCTTTCCCCCTGGCCTTGCAGAGGTCCTGGTTTGCTTCTCAGCCCACTGGCCAGAACGAGATAAGAGGACTCTGGTGCTAGAGCAGGGAAAGCCCTCACGAGGAGGTCAGGCGGGGCTGAATCAAGGACGCATCCCCCCGTGCTTCGGCCTCAAAAAGCTGGCTCCAGAGCCCAGGGGAAAGCAGGGATGAGGGTGTGAGCAAGAATCTGCGACCCACAGCATGGCTGGCTCAGCCTCCCCTGAGTGGAATGACCTTGACGAGCACACTAGCTTGTTTTTCTGGTGTCAGGGATCGAACTCATGACCTCACCCTTGCCAGGCAGGCACTTATACCACTGAACTACATCCCCAGCCAACCACACCCTGACTTCTGACCTGCAATCAGTCTCTCCTGAGCAAAAGAGGATAATGGCAGACATGGAAGCTCTCTATCCCATCTCAGTTATGACACTGACAACCGGAAAGACTCAACATGTCTATTTGTGGAAGTGCATTATACACCCTACAGGATGGAAAGTGACATCACTGCTAAAAAGGATGGCTTCCGTGTGAGTCATTTTTAAATGGTGCCTGAGAAAGGGTGAAAGCTGTGAGGGGAAAATATCAGCTCCAGCTCTGGGACGTAACTCTACACACGTGGAAGTAATAATTAACTCTCCCGTCTCTGGGCGACTGTGTCTCCCAGAAACGTCTAAATGGATTTTATCAGATAGAAAGCATAGATTTAGGATGCTCTGACCTAACGTTGAGATTGGGACACACATGAAATTCTCCTTGGAGAGTCTTGAGGGGAACCTCTGAGAACGTCACCATTGTCTTTGGGAACCTGGGGAGGTGGCGAAAGGGCCCACCGGCCCTCGGAAGAAGGGCTGTACTCTGCCCCGCGCCTTTAAAACAACGGAGAGCTGAGCGTGGTGCAGGCGCACGCCTGTAATCCCAGCCCTCTGGAGGCTGAGGCAGATTTGCCACAATTTCCAGGCCAGCCTGGGCTACAGAGTGAGTCCAAGGCCAGGCTGAGTCTCATAGCAAGACCCTGAGAAAAAGCAAGCGACAGAGAGAGAAAACAAATTCTTCCGCTAACATGAGCCCCACGTGGCAAATCACAAGGTTAAGTGCTCTATAATTGGGCTTGGTCTATGGCTGAGTAGTTTCCTCGGAAGTGGGTGGGTGCCAAGCCTGGTTAATGATTCTCCAGCTAATACCAAGCTGGACAGGAAAGGTGACAGAAGTGGCCCAGCAGATTGACAGGGGTCCTGTGGCTTGTGGGATTTGGAGGCTTGTTTTCTTTATATTCCCCAAGGCTGGCTACGGGTGCCTTTTAAAACCAGACTGAAAATCGATATGGTATGAGGGCTGACACCAGGCGCATCTTCTCTCTCTAAGGATCTCTGGATGGCGTGCAGAGCTCGGTGGTAATAAAATGGGTTTACAGGCAAATCGGGCCATGTGTGGCCAGGCACGGAGGCAGACGGTGCCGGCTGCCCCCTCACCAAACAGGCTGCGTTTGTTTGGGAAGCAAGGCACCCAGCCAGGGATCCGGGATTAGAGCACAGTGGTACCAACTGGCCCCGGCAGTTCCCACCTCCTCAGCCAGGCCCTGGCCCTGGGGCACTCACGTGGCCTTGTGCAGTCAGTGAGATGTGAGGGCTGTGAGCCAAGGCTTCTGTCCTTTCCAGAGGGCAGCAGGGAAGGACCTGCTGTGCAGATCTCCCTGGGACAGTGGGGTTACTGCTGATGCACGGTGTCAACCTGAACAGTTTGGAAGTTTAACTGAGAAACTCAGCAGGGAGCCAGGATCTTTACTTTGTGAACATCCTCACCCTGTGCAAGTGAAGGGTGCAGGGATTTTTTGAGTGCTACACCTGCCCTGGGGGTGGGGGTTGTGGGGGTGCCTGCATACAATATAAGGGGGAGAAGAGGCTTGCTCGTTCCCTCTTTTGCTCTGGCTGCTGCCTTGAACTGTTGTCCCTGTGCCATGCCACTCTGCCTTGGAGCCAGCTGATTATGGACAGAAACCTCCACAAACAGTGAGCTGAATAAATCTTTCCTTCCTTCATTTGGGTGTTGGGTATTTTGTCCCAGCAATGAGAGAAAAGTAACCAAGACAGTGAGTGTGGCTATGGTGGGAGCCTTTTTGTCCCCACATGGCAGATATTATTGCTTATGAAAAAAGATGCATGTGTGGAGCAGCAGCAGCCATTCTGGGGCCAGAAAGAGAGATGTGGCTTCACACTTGAAAAAGCCAGGTGACACTGTCTAGCTGTAAGTCTGCCCAAACAGCTCCGTGTTCTAAGCAACCTCTTGTCAGGTTTTTTGTCACTTGCAGCCACCATATAGGTAATGGTCTGCAACCACTAATGCTACCCTGGAGGATGGCTGATACTGGGGTCCTAAAGCAGAGTCCCTGGACACTTCTGGGTGGGAGCAGGTCACTGAGGAGTCCTGGGGTCACACTGTGCTTAGCCTTCTGCACAAGAACTGAGGATGACCTTTGTGCACTTGTGAGCATGGCTGTCCCTGGAAGAGGGGCCGACCCACTGCTCAATGGCCGGCAGCCTCTCCCAGCCACGTGAGGAGGCCATCCTGGCCAGAGCAGGGTTACCTCGATCTGGGGCAGGAAGGTGTGGACGGAGGGCAGGTCCGGCAGGCTGACAGTGACGTCCAGGAGCCGCTGGGCCAGGGCCCGCCACAGCTGCAGGTCACGGAGGGGTCTCTGGAAACGCTGCCACAGCTCCACCCTGGTGCTGTTGCACAGCCTGGTGCTCTTCCCCTTCATGCTGCAAGGACCGGCAGGGTGCAGACAGAAGAGGAGAGGGGTCAGTGCAGGGGCAGGCATGGCGGGGGCCAGGGGACAAGGCGAAGGTGGGAGGGACAGGGCGCTCCGAGATGGACAGGCCATGGTCATGGCCATGGTCACTGAGAACAGAGCGTGGGCTCCTGGGCTTCCTTGGGCTCTTGTACCAGTGAGATGTGTGACCAAGCATGAGAGCTGGGAGCCTGAAGTGAGGCAGTGACTTAGTCACTGAGCCTCAGTTTACCCTACTGGAAATCAGGGCCCCTCCCATAGCGCTCCTGTGAGTACTTGTTGAGATAACGCATGGAGATTTCTCCCACAAATAGAGGAGGAGGTAAGCAAGGCGTGATGGCACATGCCTGTAATCCCAGCAACTCAGGAGGCTGACGCAGGAGGATCTCCACAAGTTGAGGCCAGTCTGGGCTACCTAGTGAGTTCAAGACCAGACTGTATTACATAATGAGACCCTGGCCTTTCAACTGGGGACATAAAAAATTTAAAAAGCTTAATATGAGTTTAAAATGAAGTAAACAGTAGAAATATGAGTCCATATCCAAAGTTACTCTGCCCCTGAGAGCATTTGTGGGTTTAAATGAAATAACTGCAGATCTGAGCTAGGCTTGTGCCAGCTCTGAGAAAGGGGCCAGTGTGGGAGTTGGCTAGCCTTGAGCTGGGACCTCAGAGGCCTGCAGAGGAACCGCCCTCCAGCAGCCTGGCAGCCCAGCCTCGTGACCTGGGACTGCAGGGGAAATTGCCTCTCCCCTAGATTGCTGCTGCCCTCTGGGAAGAACAGAAGCCTGTCTGAAGATGCCATCATCTGGAGCACTGGTTCATTCTTTCTCTCTTTCTCTCTCTCTCTCTCTCTGTTTCTGTCTCTCTAAGACAGGATCTCGCTATGTAGCTCAGGCTGGCCTTGAGCCTGTGGCAATCCTCCTGCTTCCACAGCTGACAATTGATTTCTACAAGTAATTTTTCAAATAAGTTCTTCAAAATAGCTGGCCATGTTGGTGCTGGCCTGTAATCCCAGCACTCTGGGAGGCTGAGGCAGGAGCACCCAGAGTTTGAGCCCAGTCTGGGCAATTTAGAGACTTCATGGGACCCTGTCTCAGAATAAACGTTTTAAAAAAAGCACTGGGGATGGAGGTTGGTGTAAAAGCCCAGAGATCAGCCCCCAATACTGGAAAGAAAGATTCTCTAAGTAATAATTTCTCGTAATTTTTCAAATATCTGGTGCAGCACCCCGACATGGATCCCCAGCCCCAAAACCTCAGGAGGAGAGAGCGGAGGCCACAGAAGACCCTGGGCCACTCTGTGTGGCTGCTGTGAGCACAGGGAGCCAACCCCGACCTTTGTCTCACAGGCTGGGGCCTGAGCGCTGCTGTGGCTTGAGGGGCCCAAAGCAAAGGTGGGCCCCCCCCCCGCCTCACACTCCGCACCCAGCAGCACTGTGTGAAGCACCTGTGCGTTGCCTGCCGGACACTGTGGACCCGCCACGTTTACCCGCTGCCCAGTGCCACAAAGCGAGGCCTGAGATAGGCTCGGGGTTTCATACTCTGCATGGTTATGACCGGAGGCGAAGGCTGGTGTCATCTACTGCACAGCCCCCAGGGTTAAATGGCACTGAGAAACTCATCAGGAGGGATGCACAGGCCACCCACAAGGAAGAAGCAACATTTGGGAACAGAGTTCAAAATAAATCAAAAGGGACAGTGCCCGACCCCAGCGGGGACCTGTAATCAATGTCCCCAGTTTCTGAGTCCCACGGCTCCCATCCTCCGGTACCTCTTGTATTCCTGGATGGCGACCACCACACTGTCACAGAGGGGCTGCAGGTCAGGGAAGGCCACAAGCTCCTTCAGCTGGGCCTGCAGCCGGGCCACCCGAGGCTCCTCCGAGGCCAGTGCCGCCCGCGACGCCTGCAGGACAAGACAACCCCCAGGGGGCAATGAGGCTCCTCCAGGGGACAGTGCAGGTGTGCAGGGGCTGAGTGTGAGCTGGGTGTGTGACCAGGTGGAGAAACCTGTCACCAAGGGCAGGACTGGCTCCCTCGAGCTCACCAAAGTCCTCAGCTTCCTCATACGGGCACTCAGCCTGTCAAGCACCACTCAGGAAACTCAGATCCCAAAGACCAGGAAAGCCAGGCGAGTGTGCTGAGGCTTGGGGTGACTCTGTCACATCCCATGTCACAGCCCAGTAGCCACCCGAGGTCTGCACCCCTGACCACTCCCCGGCTTGGCCACACGCTGCTTACCGAGTAGAGCCTCCAGCGGGCCACCAGCTCATCTTCAGTCCCTGCGGTTTTCCCCTTCACTGAGGGCTCCAGTCCACCCTGGGCCAGCCTCTGGAGGCCCTTCTGGAACTCTCCGAGCTCGGCCTCCAGCCGCCGGAGCTGCCGCTCACGGGCATCCTTGGACGACAGCAGGTCCTGGAGCTGTGCCTCCTCCTCCCCCCAGAGGATCCGCTGCTTCTCCAGGACCCTCCGCATCTCCTCCAGCTCCCTGGCGATCTTCTCAGCGCCCAAGGGAGAGGTGTGCTGTATGATGCCCGCGGACCACGCCTCCAGCCGCCTCAGTGCCTCCTCCCCCTGGGAGAAATCCTTGGCAAGGTCCTATGGGAGACAGGGCCGGGGTGATGGGAAACTTCGAGGGGGCCGAGCACAGGTTCAGATGCTTTCTAGAGCAGACCTGGGAATGGGCTGGAGTGGGCGGGGCACAGCCAAGGGGTGGACTGTGCCTCCGGGACCCGTACCCCTCCCCAGCCTTCTCTGAGCCTGTGGATTTGGTTGAGGAGAAGGTCTGGTGGGTGCCCCTCTGGTTCCAGCACTTTCTCCACTTGTGAATCTTCGTTTCCAACCAACAGGTGTGGAACCAGCAGCAGGCAATGCTATGGTGCCTACCAGAACCTAGAGGCACCTCTTGGTTTTGTGGTCTTTATTTGCATGGTTATCTACACGTTATGAATGGCACTGGTTTTTCCACTTATGACAGTGATCTATATTTTTTATAGATGATGTTAATATTTTTTTAAAAGGTAAGTTAAATAAAGACTATGAAAGAAACAGGCCAGGTGCAGTGGCACACACCTATAATTCTAGTACTAAGGAGGCCGAGGCAGGAGGATCACTGTGAGTTTGAAGCCAGCCTCGACTGCATAGTAAGTTCAAGTTTAGCTGGAACTATATATTGAGACTTTGTTTCAATCCTCACCCCAAAAAGTACAGGTGCCTTACAATTGCGGCCTTTGAATTACTGAAGGTAATCTACACACTCACTCTTCAGAGGAGGCAGACGTTTTGCCAAAGCCACACACTAGTGACAAGGTCCAGAGTGGACACAGATCTCCTATGCACAGACCTGATAGACACCCAGGGCTCTTACCCCTGGGCACTGCTGACATTTGGGTGGGGTTACTGTCGTGGGCACTGTCCTGGGTGGTGCAGAGCCTTGAGCAGCATCCCCAGCTTCCACCCAGGAGAAGCCTGTAGCAGCGCCCAGCCTCAGCTGTGACAAACAGAGCTCTTTGGACGTTGCCAGGTGTACTAGAGACCTGTGGTTCTGAGGTCCTGTGGTCCAGATGCCTCAGAGATTTTTATCAAGCATGAGCTCCCATGTGCTTTGCCCCAGAACCTTTGGCTAACCTTGAGAGGAGGCAGATGGCCTTGAGGGGAGGCAGCATGTCCTGGATGTCCTGCCTCACAAGATGGTGACATAAGACGCACCACAGGTTGGGACCCTCAGAGCTCACCTGCAGCGTGGAAAGGCGGAGCTCAGTGGGCAGCTGGCAACCACTGCCTGTACAGGCCTGTGCCTTCTCCACTGCCGCCCTGAGCCACAGCTGGAACTCGTCCACGGCCGCCTGGTACTCCTCGTGCTCCTGGGCCACCCTTGTCAGCAGGTCCACCCGGTCCTGTGGAGGAGAGATCACACCTCTGAGAGGGTCCCTACCCTCAGAGGCCACAGCATGCCTAGGTTGTGTGTGAGTGGGTACGTCAGGGCTGCAGGTGACACTCAGCTCGGGCCCTGCCCTGGAGATGGCCCCAGGAGCTGTCATCTTCTTGCACTGGCGCATTCCAGGAGACTCCTGGCTTTGGAGACCAAGCACGTCGCCAGAGGCCTCGTCAGCTCTACAGCTGGGGTTCTCCTCGCCCTGTCTGGGGAGTGCACTCCAGTGGGGTGTGGTGACAGAGACAGTGGCAACATGACGACTCTCTAGCTGGGTGTGGCAGTGCACACCAGTGATTCCCCGCTACTCCAAAGGCTGAGGCAGGAAGGGTGCAAGTTGGAGGCCAGCCCTAGCTCATTGGGAGAGACCCTGTGTCAAAAGGAAGTAAAGCGAAAAGGGCTCGGGAGGTGGCTCAGTGACTGAGCATTTGCCTAATATGCATGAGGCCTAGGGTTCCATCCTCAGTACCGCGAGGAGGAAGAGCATTTCATTTTGCAAAGGGGAGGGGAACCCAAGAGATCGGTCCCTGTGATGAATGTGCTCATCAGCGACTGCGAACACGTGTTATTAGTATTTCTTAAAATTTACAATAGAGGCCGGAGCAAGGAAGGCTTGGAAAGAAAGAGAAAAAAGAATCTGAGCTCTGGGAGCGCTCCTGGCCCCCCAGGGTTGTCCCCCTGGTTATTCTCCTTAGGAAGCCTCAGAAAGGTAAAGGGACCTGCCCAAGGCTACCAGTTAAGGCCAGCCTGAGACACAAAGCTGTCAGGCAGGGCCGGAGAACAGACAGGCACTTCCAGAGGGGATGCACAGGAGTCCCCAGGGCCCTCCCTGTGAGGGTGGTGACTTCATGGCAAGACCAGAGGTCTTCCCTGTTCGAGCCAATCCTAGGAAGCAGTAACCACCACGGGGCAGAGCAGTGACACTGGGGATGCTGACAGTGCCCCCATCAGGTGCTCCTAAGGCCTGGTTTCAAAATGTCCTGCATCAGAGCTCTGTCTCCTTCAAGCCCTCCGCAGCTCCCCCTGCAAGCCCTGAATCCTGATGGGGAAAGCTAGGTCCTCACCACGAGTGCTGTGGGCCTACAGTGCCACTGGGCTTGGGAGCCCACTGCTTGCGGGCGGAACCCTGGCATCACCTGAAGCATCTCCTATCCCTCTGTGTGTGAGTCTCTGCTTCCCTAGAGCCTGGCAATGGCGCCTGGCAGCCCAGAAGCACTCAGTGGCTGGGAGCTGCTACCTTCCATCTCCCATTCCCTGTGCTACTGTGGCAGTGCCTAGAGGGCACCCAGCCCGACGCCCACCCCACCAGGCTCACCACGGCAGCCCCACCTTCTTCCTCTGACACTGCCCGCCTCCCTGGGCTGAATCAGCAACTCTCCTTCTGTGTTCCCAAAACACCGGGTCACTACTCAATCCTGGCACTTGTCCACCAAGCTGTCACTCACTGAGGGGACCAGGAGGTTCCCTATGGCAACGCTGTCCATGCAATGTTCTCTCCCTTGACTCAGCTCAGGGCAGGCTCTGTGCCCTCCTGGGTATCTGTCCATGGATGAGGTTTTCCAGAAAAGTAAAGAAAAGAGGAAGAGAATTACGTTTAACGGGCACCTACTATCTGTGCAGCTGACCCTGGAGGACTGCACCTTCTTTAACATTCATGACCCTCTCTGCTGCAAACTCGCAAACTGGAGGGGTGCAGGGCTCTCACTGGGTCAGAGAGCTGAGGTCAAGCAGCAAGTATTAGGCTGCAGAGTTTTAGCCCAAGCCCAGAGTCTGCAGACAGCTTCCTCCAAGGGCGAAAGGAAATATACAGCTGCTGCTGCGGTTACTCAGCCACGCAAACATCCGCAGACAGCGTGGAAAACATGGCTGTGTGCCGGTCAGATGTGCAGATCGGACACTGGAAGTGGGATTCCATGTTCTTCTCATGCATGGAGAACGAGCTGGCTTTTCTCCCTCCTTCTACAAATGTGAAAAGCATTCCTAGCTCAAAGCAGAGGTGAGCAGGCTCAGTGCTGGGGCTGTGGTCTGCTGACCTTGGCTTGGGCTATGGAGGAGGACACAGCCTAACCCTGACCCTGACCCTGACCTTCCATGAAGCTGAGTTCTCCGTGGGAAGAGTGGACAGGCGGGGGGGGGGGGGCGTGAAAACCACTTCTAGCAGCTTGTACATGCTTCCCCTTCTTTAGGAGGCTCCTCTCCAAATCTCCAGATACTGGCTCCTTTAGACTTTCGCAGCAATCACTGGGAGCAGGAAACTGTCCCCATGTGATCGAATCTCATGTACTCTTTGGGCCTCCAGGAATCCTCAAGAGTCTGGTGACCATCTGAGGCTTGGAGTAAGCCTGTCTTGGGCCTTCCAGGGATCGCCCAGGACCAGCATGGCCCAATCAGGGAGGCAGTGATCACCACCCCGAGGAGGGAGCTGGAGCCTTGCATGCTTTGGTGCTTTGCTCCCTCCTTGGCTCCTGGGTCTCGCACGGTGTCTGTGTCCATCTAAACTCTCCCAGAGTCCCGTCTAGGAAACACAGCAGCTGCGGAGGCTGCTGCCCCAGGCTTGGCTGACAGTGATGAATGTAGCAAGGGAGAGAACCCCAAAGTGCTGGCTGGCAGCAGCTCCAGCATGAGCGATGGGGCGCTGTCTGCCCAGAGTAAACAGCAGCCCTGGGAGCCAGGGCAGGCGCTGGCTCAGGAGGAGGGAGGAGTGGCGTGGCAGGGCAGCGAGCCAGCTGGAGTGGGTGCCAGGCCCAGCAGTCCAGAGAGGGTGACAGGGTGAAGCATAGGACCAGGCCCCGCCTCCTCATTAGACCAAACAATTAAACCACTGAGCTGTCAGGAATGTCAAGACCCATCCAATTAAGGAGGGCTGAGTGGATTTATGTTGCTGCAAAGGGTGAAGGAGTAGGTCTGACTTGGCCTCCGCCACTGGGTGCTCCTGTTCCAGGGCACAGGGAGGCAGGAAGAGGAGGAAGAGGAGGCAGCTATTTGCAGCATTGGATTAAAAACAAACAAAAAGATCCTGCGGCCCCAGCCTGCCCCTTTGCCCACTGTTTTCCAATGCTTGGCATTGCTGTGTCCTGCAGGCCACCTCCAGGCTCAGCCTGGTGCCCTGAGCAAGGATCTCCCGGGAGGGGGTGTCACGAGGGCCACGGTGTCGGGTCCCATTCCCACCAACAGCAGGTACTTTGCTAAATCACTTGTGGGGCATTAACAAGGGAGAAACGGGGCCTTTTAGCCAGCAAGAAGCTCTCCGGAAACGGAGACTCAGTGGTGAAGGTGGAGAGGTCACTGCATTCCTGTCCTGCCATCCGGCCAGGCCAGGGCCCTCTGAGATCCCAGGGCTGAGGCTCCAGAGCCCCAGCACTGCCCTTTATACCAGGGGGCTTCACTAATCAGGTGGCAGAGAGGTGACCAGGTGGTGTCTGGGCCACCAAAGATCTTTGGGGACTACTGAACACAGTCCTTTCCAGAGCATCCAGCCAAGAGCTGGAAGAACACCCTGGAATCACGGGCAGTGGCCCCCAAATCTCTGGAGTCCAGGAAAAAAAAGCAAGGGTCCATGGGCTCCTGTGCACAGCTGAGACAGCCAAACAGGACCCCGTTCATGGGGTCAGAGGCAGCTTCCTCTCCACGCCAGTGCTGTACCTCAGGAGGCCTCAGAAGACCCTGCACCAAGTGCCTTTCTTCCCAGAGCCCCAGACATCCCCATGCACTGCCAGCTGCTGGGCACAGATGTACAAGCACGGTCCAGACCTGAGGTTCATGAGGACGTGGACCCCACCCTGGCTCCCGGCTCTTCCTACTGGACCAGTGGGGTCTGGTCTTTGAGGGCTTGTCTATCTGTCTGTCTTAATCTTTAAAAGGAGCCAGGGAGAATCTTCTCCATCTACTGCATGAGAAGGCTGGGAAATCCAGTGAAGTCAGAGACAGGAAGAGGCAGATCGGTGAGAATCACGATCGCTAAGGCTCTGCTTCCTGTGCTGGGGGTCTCCCGAAATGACATCTAGACTCCGTGTGGGGCCAGAGCTGGGGCTTACCCACACCCCCGCCCACACTCACACACTGCCCCATCCCTGGCACTAGGGGCTCCGTCTGAGAACTGGCACGGGCTCCTGTGTTTGCAGAGCCACAAAGAGCCCTGGAGCTGGGCCCTGTCCCACCCAGGCCTGGAGGGAGGGTGGCTGGCTGCCGAGCCTGCTCTGCTGCCTGGGTCCACAGTGCTGGACAAAGCCAACTGGCTGCATCTGCAAGAGCGAACCCTGGAGCAGCCTGGCCCCTGCAGCCCAGCCCTTCCTATCCCTGCCCTCCAGGGACTGCGGCAGTTAGCTTCACGCTTTGGGGCCCGGCTCTCACTTATTTAATAAATAGTTCCACACAGCCACTGCCTGTCCAACACGGATGCTGTTGCTATTTATTCTTGTTGCTACTGACACAGGAGAGCATCTTCTGTGTACCTTCCTTCCATGCTGGGGATTGCACCCAGGCCCTGCGCGTGCTAGGCACGTGCTCCATCACTAAGCTATAGCCCCGTCCCTTTTTAGTTTAATTTGAGACAGGCTCTTACTTCTCAATGAGTTGTGCAAGTTGGCCTCAAACTCTTAGATCCTCCTGCTTCAGCCTCCCAAGTAAAGGCCATGCTTTGTATTAAGAAATCACTGGTCAGTTTTCAAACAGCTTGTGCATAACTCATTTGCCCTCCAACCTGGGTGAGCTGCCCAATGGTCACACAGCCAGGGGCAGCAGAGCTTGCTTTCCTAAACTCTCCAGGGCGGCCATGCTGTGGAAGGGTTCTCCATCTCTGCTTATTCTACAACTTATTTCCCTACGGGTGAAGCCCACTGGATGACTAACACTGCCCTCAGCTGCTGGGGATGCAGGAAGACGGCTGGAAGCCCCTGGGACCACAGAACATACACCTGGTGAAGGGACAGCCCCACGGGCAGAGGCAGACATGGTGGAAATGAGCCAGGTCACTACATGCTACATCTGTGTCTCAGCTAGTGGAGGCTGGAGCCAGATGCTTAGGGTACAGCAGGGTGGACTTGGGCCCAGGATAGCAGCAGCCACCACAGGAAGGCAGAGTCCTCCAGGAGCCCCCCAACTCCCATCCCAGTGGAGGGTACCGGGAAAAATGTAGGTCTATCACCACAGGTGGGGAAGAATGCTGTGTATTTCGAACTGGGTTTTAAAACATACAGCTGGGCCTGCTAGCGCACACCTGTACTCCCAGCTCTCAGCAGGTTGAGGCAGGAGGATCTCTGAGTCAAGGCCAGCCTGGGCTACATATCGAGTTCAAGGCCAGCCTGAACAGCATAGGGAGACCCTGTCTCAAACAAACTAACACCATCAGCCACCCTTCAGAGCGCAGAGCCGGGGCCTGTCATGTAATTTTATCTTTGTGCTCAGGAGTAGAGAATCCACTCAATTCAGAAACTCCTGAGCCAGTACCCACACACAAATAGGAATCAGCGGGAACTTCCCTGAGAACCACACAGATGCAAACTCTGTCCACTCTAATGGCAATTTTCCGCCAGGTGTGGTGGTCACAGCACTAAAATCAGCTACTTTGGAGGCAGAGGCAGGAGGATCACGAGTTCCAGCCTAGCTTGAGCTGTCTCAAAATAAAAACCAAACCAGGCATGGTGGTACATGCCTGTAACCCAAGCACTCTGGGAGCTGAGGCAAGAGGTTTGCAAGATTGAGATCAGCCTGGGCAGCTTAATGAGACTCTGTCTCAAAATAAAACATATAAAAAGCTCAGTGTGAAGGCCCAGGGTTCAATCATCAATACCACCAAAAAAGGGTAAGACATCTCTAGATTTGATCCACAGACTAAAGGGGTATATTCCAGCCATGAGTGTGCAGATAAAGCCCAACTGCCAAAGCCCAAGGAAATAGTCTACCATGCTTGGGGAACAATGACGAGAGTATTAAAACCAAGCCTGGGGGCACACACCTATAATGCCAGCACTCAGGAGGCTGAGACAGGAGGATCACCATGAAATCAAGGCCAGCCTGAATTACATAGTGAAACCTTCAAAAGAAACAAAAGCCTCAGACCATGGGGCTTCAGCTTCCTGAACAACCTGACAGAGCCCATGGAATATGCATGCTTAGAGGGCTGGGGAAATAACCCACATCCAGAAAAAACCCAAACTTTCAGGAAGCATGACCTAATTTTTTAAAAAGTCAATATAACAAAAAGCCAAATAGAATTTCTAAAAACAGTAATAATTGCACTTAAGAACTCAATGAGATGTTTCAAAATAAGGCAAGAATAAGATGAAGGAAAGCAGGCAGGGGGTGGGGAGGGGGATTGGGGCAAGAGCAAGAGAGGAGGAGGACGGGGTGAAGGGATCAAAGGAGAAGGAGCAAGAGGGAGGAGGAAGAGGGACAGAGAGGAGGGAGGGAGGGAGAGAGCAAGAGGAGAGGAGAGGGGAAGGGAGGGGAGGAGGGAGAGGAGAGGAGAGGAGAGGGGGGAGAAGAGAGGAGAGGGGGGAGAGGAGAGGAGAGGGAGGGGAGTGGAGGGCAGGAGGGGGCCGCCTGGTGAAAGTGAATGCACGGCCATCAGTCAGTCGGTCAGTATGTATGTGTGGGAAGTGTCCACATGCACTAAGCCCTGAACAAGCCTGGTGTATAGATGATGGTGGATAGGTGGTGGATGTGGAAGGACAGGAGGACGAGTAGGGGGAGACTGGTGGATAGGTAGTGGGTGGGTGGACGAGTGGTAAATGAGGGGGCATGGGGGAAGGGTAGACAGCAGAGAGCCAGATGAGTGAACCAGTAAGAGCCGAGCTGGGTGGGGAGATGGACTGGAGAGTGGGTAGACAGGGGGGAGGGTGGTGCCAAAGTGACTCAACAGACGGATAGGAGATGGGCCAGATGGTGGAGAGGCAGACGGAAGAGTGAGTGAGGAGATGGGCAGGAGAGTGGTAGACAGGACGGGGGGTGGAGAGGAAGTGGTAGGTGAGTGGATGGGCACTCAGTGGGAGGTTTGGTAGCACAGCAGGGATAGGGAACAAGGAGGCAGAAAGATGGCAAGGAGGGTGGGTGGGTGGAGAGATGGGAAATGGAACTGGGTGGATGATGGGTGATGGGTGAATGGGTGGATAGATGATGGGTAGGTGGGTAAGTGGAGGATGGGTAGTGGATAGATGAATAGATGGATGATGGTAGGTGGTGGGTGGATGGATGATGGTAGGTGGTGGATGGATGGATGATGGTAGGTGGTGGATAAATGTATGATGGTAGGTGGTGGATGGATGGATGATGGTAGGTGGTGGATAAATGGATGATGGTAGATGGTGGATGGATGGATGATGGTAGGTGGTGGATGGGTGGATGATGGTAGGTGTTGGATGGGTGGATGATGGTAGGTGTTGGATGGATGGATGATGGTAGGTGTTGGATGGATGGATGATGGTAGGTGGTGGATGAATGGATGATGGTAGGTGTTGGATGGGTAGATGATGGTAGGTGTTGGATGGGTGGATGATGGTAGGTGTTGGATGGGTGGATGATGGTAGGTGTTGGATGGATGGATGATGGTAGGTGTTGGATGGATGGATGATGGTAGGTGTTGGATGGGTGGATGATGGTAGGTGTTGGATGGATGAATGATGGTAGGTGTTGGATGGATGGATGATGGTAGGTGGTGGATGAATGGATGATGGTAGGTGTTGGATGGATGAATGATGGTAGGTGTTGGATGGATGGATGATGGTAGGTGGTGGATGGATGGATGATGGTAGGTGTTGGATGGGTAGATGATGGTAGGTGTTGGATGGGTGGATGATGGTAGGTGTTGGATGGGTGGATGATGGTAGGTGTTGGATGGATGGATGATGGTAGGTGTTGGATGGATGGATGATGGTAGGTGTTGGATGGGTGGATGATGGTAGGTGTTGGATGTATGGATGATGGTAGGTGTTGGATGGGTGGATGATGGTAGGTGTTGGATGGATGGATGATGGTAGGTGTTGGATGGGTGGATGATGGTAGGTGTTGGATGGATGGATGATGGTAGGTGGTGGATGAATGGATGATGGTAGGTGTTGGATGGGTAGATGATGGTAGGTGTTGGATGGGTGGATGATGGTAGGTGTTGGATGGGTGGATGATGGTAGGTGTTGGATGGATGAATGATGGTAGGTGTTGGATGGATGGATGATGGTAGGTGGTGGATGAATGGATGATGGTAGGTGTTGGATGGGTAGATGATGGTAGGTGTTGGATGGGTGGATGATGGTAGGTGTTGGATGGGTGGATGATGGTAGGTGTTGGATGGATGGATGATGGTAGGTGTTGGATGGATGGATGATGGTAGGTGTTGGATGGGTGGATGATGGTAGGTGTTGGATGGATGAATGATGGTAGGTGTTGGATGGATGGATGATGGTAGGTGGTGGATGAATGGATGATGGTAGGTGTTGGATGGATGAATGATGGTAGGTGTTGGATGGATGGATGATGGTAGGTGTTGGATGGATGAATGATGGTAGGTGTTGGATGGGTAGATGATGGTAGGTGTTGGATGGGTGGATGATGGTAGGTGTTGGATGGGTAGATGATGGTAGGTGTTGGATGGATGGATGATGGTAGGTGTTGGATGGATGGATGATGGTAGGTGTTGGATGGGTGGATGATGGTAGGTGTTGGATGGATGAATGATGGTAGGTGTTGGATGGATGGATGATGGTAGGTGTTGGATGAGTGGATGATGGTAGGTGTTGGATGGGTGGATGATGGTAGGTGTTGGATGGGTGGATGATGGTAGGTGTTGGATGGGTGGATGATGGTAGGTGTTGGATGGGTGGATGATGGTAGGTGTTGGATGGGTAGATGATGGTAGGTGTTGGATGGGTGGATGATGGTAGGTGTTGGATGGATGGATGATGGTAGGTGTTGGATGGGTGGATGATGGTAGGTGTTGGATGGATGGATGATGGTAGGTGTTGGATGGGTGGATGATGGTAGGTGTTGGATGGATGGATGATGGTAGGTGTTGGATGGATGGATGATGGTAGGTGGTGGATGAATGGATGATGGTAGGTGTTGGATGGGTAGATGATGGTAGGTGTTGGATGGGTGGATGATGGTAGGTGTTGGATGGGTGGATGATGGTAGGTGTTGGATGGATGGATGATGGTAGGTGGTGGATGGATGGATGATGGTAGGTGGTGGATGGATGGATGATGGTAGGTGGTGGATGGATGGATGATGGTAGGTGGTGGGTGGATGGATGATGGTAGGTGGTAGATGGATGAATGATGGGTAGGTGGTGGGTGGATGGATGAATGATGGTAGGTGGTGGGTGGATGGATGATGGTAGGTGTTGGATGGGTGGATGATGGTAGGTGGTGGATGGATGGATGATGGTAGGTGGTGGATGGATGGATGATGGTAGGTGGTGGATGGATAGATGATGGTAGGTGGTGGATGGATGAATGATGGGTAGGTGGTGGGTGGATGGATGGATGATGGTAGGTGGTGAATGGATGGAAGGACGGATGGATGAAGGGTGGGTGGGCAGTGGAAGGGTGAGGAGACGGATTGGTGGATAGGAAGATGGGATGCATGAGTGAATGGCGGGTGCAGAGCCCCAGCCTCACCTGGGCTTTGGCCTTCACTGTGTCGTACTCAGCCTTCATACTCCTCTGCGCATCCTCATCCACACTGGGGTCCCCGATCCTGTTGAACAGGGAGGCCGCCTCCTCCAGCAGCCTGCCTAAGAGCTCAGCCTGGTTCTTCACATTGTGCAGCAGCACCTGGGCATTGCTCAGCTGCCACTGCTTCTCCTTCAGGCCCAGCTGCAGCTCGGCCGGCGGCTCCAGTGTGACCACCATCTTCTGGAACCAGCGGTAGAACTCGCCCCGGGCCAGCAAGTACTCCTTCCAGTGCAGCCAGACCCACTCGATGCGGCTGTGGACGGAGACCCCGGGGTGTCAGGGAGGGGTCGGTCAATGCTCCCAGACAGGAAGACCATACGCTGCCCTTTCATCTGGCCTGGGGGCTGTGCAATGGGGACATGACAGCATCTCTGTGTCCCAGGGGCAGCTGATGACCCTCCCTCTGTCCTATGGAGTGGGACCCTCCTCCAGTCCTAGACTCGGGCTCCTAAGGGAGCTGATGTGCCTGAGACTTACCTGCCGGGGAATGCAGACTGGGGAGCCCTTAGCCACAAGATTCTGGCCCTGAACTCCCACTCTCGATGCACAGGGTCCTCCAGTCACCTCTGGCTTGGAGACTCTGAACACAGTGGCCTCAGACCCTTACTGCTCTGTGCCTATCAGCCATAGGAGAACCCTGCCTAACAGTCTGCAGGACACAGCTGCACCTGCCAGCTTGTTAGTGCTACTTGGGTGGGTGGGGGTACTCGGGATGTGCAGGAGTCCGTGGGCACCATGAATACTCAGCATGGCCGTGCCTCTCCACCCATCTTGGGATCAAGTACAAGGGTTTGGCAAACAGGAAGCCTTGCGTGGAGCTGTTCTTGCCTCCAGGGGTCCTGTGGGTCAAGCACTCTCGCTCCTGATTCTGCGACTCCCTTCTACTCTCCTAGCTACCTCTAGGAGGCACCTGGTTGCCCCATTGGGAAGCACAGGGTCAAGGAACTTCTTTTTTTTTTTTTTTTTTTTTTTTGTCTTTTTTGAGACGGGATCTCGCTGTGCAGTTCAGGCTGGCCTTGAGCTCACTTTGTAGCCTAGGCTGGTCTCAAATTCGCAACGATCCTCCCACCTCAGCCTCCTGAGTGCTGGGATTACAGGCCTGAGCTACCATGCCCGGCTGTCAAGGAACTTCTTAAAGCCACATAGAAAGTAATCAATAGGGCAAGAATCACCCCCAGATCTCTGAGTCTCTGCCTCTGTCCCATAGCTCCTCCTCATAACTGGATACAGGCCAACAATCAGGCTAAAGCACCCTCCCAGCAGAGCCATTCTACTGCTCTGCTGGAGAGGCAGGCGTGGGCAGTCATTTGGCAGCCCAGCATGGGGTCCCTCTGTACACTCTCAGCACTGAGCTCCATCATAATCAAGAAGGAGAAGGCAAGGATGGCTTGAACCCCAGGAGAACGATGTTCCCAGGCAACATGGAACACAGAGATTCCACAAGCAGGGGTCCCAGGCCAGCGTGCTGGTGGGTGGACACAGGCTTGCTAAATCCCCTGGCCTGGCCACCTACCTGTGACAGTGAGTCATGTAGGTGACAGTCTCCTCCCACTGGTCCTTCAGGTCTCTCAGCCGGGCCAGGATCTCGGGCCGCTGGTCCTCAGGGCAGCACGCCAGGAGAGCTTCGGCTGCTTGCAACACCAGGTCCACCTTCAACTGCCCCTCGGGTTCCAGCCGGCAGATCTTCTGTTGGGCACATGAGCAGGGGGTTTGGGGGGGCTGGGCTCAGGACAACGCAAACAGGCATAGCCTGGGTAGACAGTGGTATGACACACAGCCAGGACTGTGCAGACCCTGAGAAGCCTGCTGATGCCCTGAGGGTGGAAGGAGGACCCTTGCGGTCACCAGCACTGCCATCTGTCCCTGGGTCCCCACCCGGCCCACATCTCACCGGGAGCTCTTTTATGAATAGCACCCACCTCTTGGACTGTTTGGGGTAGAAAAAGAAAATGTGCTTTGCACATAGCTGAGATGCCATCTCTCTGCACACCCTAGCGACCAGCCAAGCCCTTTGCTCTTCCTGCAGCCTGGCCCCCATGGCCATTTCCACTGGCAGCTGCCCAGGTGGCAAGCCCACACCTAGGAGCCTCGGGTAGGTCCTGGATGAATGACTAACGCAAGGACACTCCGGGCCTTGTGGGACTGCATCAGAATCCAGAGGTGACTGAGATGCTCCCACCAGGACAAGGACAACCCCACCACCTGGGTTAGCGAAGAGCAGAACTAAAGGTGCTTTTCCTCTGGGGGGTCTATGTGCACAGTGGGTGGGACAGCGCACAGGGACAGAGAGGAAACAGCCTCGGAAAGGCAAAGAGGATCAGGTGGCCACGTGGCCTTTGCAGCAGGACCGCTGGTGCAGTGGTTGCAGCAAGGACCCCACGTCTTTCTCAGTGGTGAATGGTGGTGTGGAAACTAAAGTGTCCCTGTGGTCAGCATAAACCGGAGATGCGAGGGCCACTGCAGATCCCTCTGGACCTGGTGTCACTGCCCATCTGCCCCCAGCCTGTGACAAGAAGCAGTGTGGATGCTGAATTCCAAGCCAGCCAGAGAGAGATTTAATGTGACTGATATAACTGCAAAGGCGCACATCTATGAGGCCTCCTACTTGGGGGAGCCGAGCCAGAAGGAGAGATCACAAGTTGAAGCTGGAGAAGTTAGTGAGACCCTGCCTCAAAAATAAACAAATAAGCCAGGCGTGGTGGTCCACATGTGTGATCCCAGCATTGAGGAGGCTGAGGCAGGAGGATCTGAGAGTCCCAAGGTCAGTTTGAATCATATAGTTAAGACTCTGTCTCACATAGATAGATAAATAGACAGACAGACAGAGTAAATAAAGCCTGAAGTTGTAGTCCAGTGGTGGGGCACTCACCTAGCACCCTCAAGACGCTGGATTCAATCCCCAGTGGTACAAAATAATAACTGCAGAAGTAATAATTAAGGGGCTAATGGATCGGATTCAGCCTTGCGAAGGGGACTTCACACTCCCCTCCTGCTAGCAAGCTGGGCATGATGGTCTTTCCAGATGTGATAGCCAGCGCAAGGGGGCCCACAGAAACCCCAAGCTTTGTGGACAGTCCCTACAGCAGTCAGGGAGCTCCTGCACCCAGCTGCCAGGCTAAGCTCAGAGGAACTCGGCTGCAGCAGTCAAGTGAGCCAGGAGCTGTGAGGAAAGAGAAAGTCAGCCTCACAGTGCCACATGCAGAAGCCTGCCCACCAGAAGCCCCAGTCCGGTGCCTGCCCCACAGCCTGGGGTCCACTATGTGATCCGCCTAACCCTGGGTGGATGGTAAAGGAGGTGCAGGCTGCACTTGGGGGAACAAGAGAGACCCTGACAGCCTCTCCCCTTTTCAAGTGAGTGGGTTTGATGTTTCCCAGCAAAGGGAGAGGAACTGGCTGGCCCCATGGCAGGCAGAACTCCAAGCCCAGCCTGAATGGAAGCAGACGCCCACCCCATAACACCAGCTGTGGGACACTGGCTGTGGGCTCGTGGCCAGTGAGGCCGAGTCAGATCTTGCGAAGCCGCTGCACCCTCCTCGCTGCCCCAGAGTGAAGTTCTCCCAGGGTCCAGGCCAGCAAGTACACAGCCCAGAATACCCAGCCACCCAGGTAGCAGTTCATGCAGCAGCCTTGAAGTTATTCTGGTTTGAAGCAGCCAATCAGGCACCCAGAAAATCAGAGAAATGCGGTTACGAGGCACTTCTCCTGCACTCAGCCAAGATCAGAGGGCTGTAGTGGGCACTGCTGGACAGTGGGCCCAGCATGAGCTAGATGAGCGGGCATTTCCAGCTGGGCTGTGGAGGGGCAGCAGATGAGAGCAGATGGACAAAAGAGCCACCTGGGATCTCGAGGAGGGACCTGTGAAATCCACAAGGGCTTCGTGGGGAAGGGGGCATCCATGCCAAACCTTAGAGATGGTGCAGACAATCGTGGGGAGGCTTGGGCACAGGTAGAGAAGCAAGATGTATTTAGGAAGGGGTGCATTTGGCTTTTGGAAGTCAGGCCCCAGAAAACACTGGATCCCCCTCACAAGAAGGGGCTTGGAAGCCAGGACTCAAGGGAAGTAAGACACTGGGGCCTGGGAGAGGAGCTGGAGGCCCCGAGGTGGCTCCTGGAGGCTCAGGGGACAGACCAGGGCAACAGACAGCCGAGGCCCTGGCATCTGAAACAGCGTGGGCCTCCCAGGGCAGTGGCCGGGCCAAGCAGGCAGGAAGTCCTCTCCTCCATGCCGCTTCCCTCCTTGCGGTGGTGCGGGTCACTTTCCCCAGGAGCAAGGGCAGCTCCAGGAGCTCAGCCACACACAGCCAGTAGGAGCCCAGCTCTAGACCCCGGGGAACCTTTCTTTCCATCCAAAGGGCTGAAGCCAGGGCTTTGCACTGAGCTCTATTCCGGGCTCCCTTTGTCCAGGCAAGAGCGAGGCATGACTCCGCGGAGCTGGTGTTGAAATATCAAAGTGCACAGAAGTCGCCCCGGGGACAAGGCACGGCAAGCACCAGCCTGCAGGTCATGGCCTAGAGCTCCCGCTGCCAGGTCCACCAATAGGTCCAGCTGAGGACCACCCTAGGGCTTGCTCAAGCCAGGCTCACCACCAGGAGGGAGAGACAACGGGACTTCCAAACAGCTGCGACCCCAGAGGAGCGCAAGTCATTGGCTTCTCTCACAGACAGAACGGGAGCCCAAGGAGGGAAAGGGGGTGATGGAGGTGACCCAGCACTCTGGCAAGAGCGTGGGAATTCTAATCCAAGCCTCAGACTCTTGGTCCACTGTGCTTTGTCCTTAATCCCTATCACCTTTGGACAGGGTCTGTGTAATGTCTGGCTGGGCATCAGGCGCCAGCATTTGTCATGCACTGCCTCCCTGTCTTGCAGGGTGAAGTCAAACCCCGGGTCTAGAGGAGCTCAGGGCTCACTGCTGTGGCCGGGCAGAGCCCCTCCCCAGCGCTCTGCAGGGGCCCAGCCACAGTGGGCAGGGAAGAGGTGGCAGCCAGGCTAGAGCCAGCAGGGCTGGGGATCCAGTGGCTGCACTGGTGGCCCTGCAGGGACGAGAGGAACCAAGGGAAGGCTCTGGTCCCTAACCAGGGAAATGAGGACTAGAGAACAGCAGCAGTAGCACAGGCACTGTCAGAAGTCCCTGCTTTCAGGCCCCAGACCCACCCCAGCGGAACTGGTATTTGATTTTCCTCTTTTGAGACAGGGTCCCCTTAGCCCAGGCAGGCCTCAAACTCATGATGATTCTCCTGTCTCAGCCTCCCAGGTGCTGGGATGACAGGCTTGCCTCGCCAGCATTTTCGTTTGAGCAAAGCCCCCAGGACCCCGTGCACATGTCGGAGTCTGGCAGACTCGGCTCATTCATCCTCGACATGGAATGATTAGGAAACTGAGGTCGAGGGGGAGGGGCAGGTTCGGCAGAGGCAGGGCCTCCGCATACCTCAGTCTCCTGCAGCCTGGCCTCCAGGGCCTCCAGGGGCCCCTGGGTGTTGTCATTGACCTGCAGCCGCTCCTGCACTGCCTGCATCCATGCTCGGGCCTCCTCCACGCTCCTGTCGAAGCCCTCTTGGGGCTGCTGGGTCATGGCACCTGCAGGACAGAGGGAGGACACAGGGTCAGGCAGAGGCAGGTCCCCAACAGCCCACCCAGCAGGGCAAGTGACACAAGGTAGAGACAAGCAGGCAGGACACAGGCAGGGACAGCTGGGATTTCCTCATCCTCCGCCTCCTCGCTCTCCAATCTCCGCTCCCCTGGACTCCCCATCTGGGCTCAGGCTGCTCTGCTGGGCCTTGAAGGAGACCATCTGAGCACATGGGTTGGGATGGCCTTGACCCAAACAAACCAGGACACGCAGGGACAAGGAGGCCCCGACGGAAAGAGCATGGTTTGTGGTACCAGCCAAGCCCACACCAGCTCCCAGCTCCACCCAGATCAATGTCTCAGGCCGGGGGGTGGGGCGCACTCTGGCCAGCTGGCATGCTGCCACCCACTTGGGTCCAGAGTGGACACAGCTCATGTCCCTCCTGTTCCCTCCACCTCGCCTTGCATGGGGCTGTGGGCCGAAGGCCCAGAGTTTCCTGTGTAACTTTTTAAAATCCCACTAAGCCAGGGCAGGAGCCTTCTCCTGTTCCTCTGTCCACTGCAGTACCGGGGCTTGCTTTGGATTAAAGTTATTTATATCTGCATGTAACGGGGCAGGATTCTGTCTGGCTAATCCGCTGGGTTCCCCAGAGCGGGTAGAAAGAAACTCTTCTTGTCCTGTCCCAGAGGAAAAAACAAGACTTTCACAGCCCATGGCTCCGCTGAGAGAGGATGCCTCAGGGAAGGCCGAGCACATTGGCACTTCAGAGCAGGAGACCCCTGACAAATGCAAACACCCAACTTGCTAAGGAGCAGGCCAGCGTAGAATAACAGCAAAAGGTGAGACATGACGCCCGGCATTTGGTGGTCACATGTCTGCACTAGGAAAAGCAAACAAGACCCCAGTAAAGACTAAAACTCTGCTTAGAGATGAAAGTTGAGAAATTTGGTCATCAGAGGGACCAGGTCACAGAATGGAGGCCAGGGACCCGGACAGAGGTGGCCGCAGGGCAGAGATGGCGTCTCCTAGGCCTCGCTCTTCCCATGGGCCACGTGCCTCTCTGTCTCTGGCATGGCGGCACCATGGCCTCGGAGGGTGCGCGGCCAAGGATGGTGGCTGTGACTGGTGGGAAAGGATCTCTCTCTCTCTCCTTTCTTTTTGTTTTAGGAACTTTATGCGTTTTCCAGAAAGTGTGATCTTTACTTTACGGTGAGAAAACCAAACCTTTCCTGAACTCTGGCTCACTAACTTGCTGGCCCTTTCCCCTCTGGTGTGGGCTGGTTGCTCAACAAGTGTTGGCTGGGGATCCAGACCCCGCCCTGGACTCCCTGGGGCTTGGATCCTTTAGGAGACCTCGCCAAGGCAAAAGGAGCCGCCTCCCATGCCAGTTCTCCTTCAGAACTGTTGGGTTTTTTCTAACAGCTTAATACACTCTTGCAGCCACTCCCTGCCCTTGAAAGCATCTTTTAAAAGCACATCAGCATGCGTGGGCATTCACAGCACTGTGTGTCCCCGCTGGCGCCCCACAGTCCTGCTTGGATTCTAATAAAGCAAGGACTGGAGAGACCAGGAGGCACCTCCAGGTGCACACGGCAGGCAGGGCGAGCAGCTCTATCACCAAGGCTCTGAGCCTATGGAGGGACCCCTCGCTGGCGATGTGCACGCCTGGGCAGGTTGGGACCTGGTGACCTGAGGTCATAGCAGTTGGAGCTTTGTGTCAAGTGGGCTTAGCTGGGCTTTAGACAGAGCTACCACTGGGTGGCTAAGGCAGAGCAGGGCTTGGGAGATCTGGGCTGCGTGGCCAGTTCTTCCCACAGAGTGCCACACAGAGGACTATGACATTGCCCACTCCTGATGTTGTGGCCACAGCCGCAGATAAGCCAGCACCATCCCCTCCTGGAAGCAGCCCTCAGCACACCTGGAGACACGGTTGACGACTGCAACACAGCCTAACGATATACTCGACACAGCTGCAGGACTCTGGATACCAGAGGAGCCTCGCTCTGCTGTGCTCCTGAGTAACTGAAGGAAACACTGTCAGCACCAAGCAGCGGAAGGATGTGTTGGTTTCCTAGCCAAGTGCACAGGCTCCTGACCTCTCTGGGCCCCGTCAGCCCTCAGGCCCGAGGTGGGAGTCCTCTCTGAGCCTTCCAACCCCAAGGAGAGGGGAATCTGACCCCAAAGCAGGTGTAAAACTTTGACAAATTAATCTAGGAGGCTGAGCACTGCAAGTATGAATCATGCCTGGGGGACCTCATGACTCATGAAACGCTGTCCCAAAATAAAAAATTTAAAAAGGGTTGGGGTGTAGCTTAGCACAAAGTCTCTGTAGTTGGCTGGCCCTAGTACCACAAGGAAGAAAGGAAAGAAGAAAGAAAGCAAAAAGAAAAAAGAAATAAAGAAAAGAAACTAAATTGACAGATTATAAAGCCAACAAGCAAGACATGATAGTTATGGTAGCGAATGCCTGTCAGCCCAGCACTCAGGAGGCTGAGGCAGGAGAGTGCCTCAAGTTCAAGGCCAGCATGAACTACATAGTGAGACCCTGATCCAGAAAAGATATTTACTTTGAGCAAGCGCCTTTGCTCCTCTGGACAGTTTCTCCACACGTACACCAGGTGTATACTGTTAACAGTACATGGTTTTGACTCAGTGTATTCCTGAGGAAATTCATGTTCAAGTCTGATTCCAAATCTGTCTTTCTTGTCACTGAGACCCAACACCCTGACCACAAGTTAAAGAAAGAGAGGTTTATTTGGCTCACAGTTTGTAGAGGTTTCGATCCATAGTGGGCTGGCTCCCAGGCAGACTAGCATGGTGGAGAGACACAGTAGAGGAGAAAGAGATGGTGGCAGGGCAGACAGGAAACAGAAAGGGAACCAGGGAGGAGAAAAGATATATACTCTTCCAGGCCACGCCCCAGTGAGCCACCTCCTCCCACCCAGCTTCACCTCCCAGCATCACATCCAGCTACGAACCCATCAGTGGACTAATCAGTGATGAGTATCACATACCCACAACCCAGCCAATCCCCAAAGCCCTGCCTATGAGTGCAGGAGGATTTGAGAGGACATCTAGATAAATCTCCAACATTCTGCCCCTGGCCGCCCAAAAGTCTCATGCCTTTCCTCTTATGCAAAGTGCATCTAGATATATAAGAGTATCCCAAGCCCTAACAGTTTCAGCATTGCTGAAAAGTCCAAGTCCAATCTCTGAAATTTAAATCAAATTTTTGGTTGTAAGCCCCTGTACAAATGAAAAGAAAGTTAAACACTTCCAACATATAATCGTACAAGATAAATATTCCCTTGCTAAGAGGTAGAATTGGGGAGATAGAGGGAATGAGACCAAAGAAGGCCAAAATCCAGGAGGGGAAGGAACTATTAGATCCTATAGTCCCATGTCCAGCACCCAGAGCAATCTGTGGCAAGATGTGAAGCCAAAAGGCCTACGTGGCTTCACCCCTATGGTACTGCGGGTAGTGGTAGCCCTCATGGGTTCTCTCTTGGGCTGGCTTTTCTCGTTCCTTGTTGCTTTCCTCAAATGATCTATGCTCCTGGCTTCCCCACTGCACCTTTGGCTTCACACTCACAGCTTCACACACTGCCCTCCCAGAGGCACGCTGCCTGGCCTCCCAGGCCTTCTTCTGAAATCTGGGTGGAAGCCTTCCCGACCCCACAATTCTTGCATTCTGCACGTATCTAAAATCAGCACCACATGGATGCCACCGAGGTCTGCCACCAGCTGGAGCAGTAGCCGTGCCCTTTTGCATCTTGCTTGTGGTTTCAGAGGCCTTGGAGGGCCTAGATGGCTGAATATGGTGAACCAAATTCTGGAGAATAAGTTGCTTCTCCCCAGGGGACTGCCACTCTGAAACATGTGAGCCTGGGGCTCTGTTTTCATCCCTAGTTCTTTCACAACTGTGCAAAGTCTTTGCAATTTTGAGCATGCAAAGAGTAGAGTCCTACAGGTTCTTGCGACGCCCACAGGTCATCTTTTCTATTGTCCTATTCCAAAGTATTTGGCTTTTTAAATTCTAATCTTTCCAAAAACCAACTTCTCTGCTCCATTTTTGCAAGCCCTTCCTTTACCAGAGCTTCCTTTCTAGCCAAACTCAAAACTTTTGAAGTCATTCTCCTGGGCCATTTTCTCTTGATTCTCAAAGTAGAGCTGACTAAAAGAGCAACAGTAGCCATGTCACCACCTCAACATTAGACTGCCTTGAAATCTCTTCTGACAGATTAATTAGTCCATCACCCTTAATCTCACTCTCCCACAATGCCTCTGGACATGGGCAAAATGAAGGCAAATTTTCTATGAAAGCAAAACAAACATGGTATGGAGTCCAGCTACCAGAAGATTCTTTTTTCCCAACAGAAGCCTCCTGAGCCTGGTCTTTACCAGCTATATTTCTTTTCTTTTCTTTTCTTTCTTTCTTTTTGTTTGTTTGTTTGTACCAGGGATTGAATTCATGACCTCATGCTTGCCAGGCAGGTGCTTATGCCACTGAGCTAAATCCCCAGCCCCACCAGCTACATTTCTATCAGTATTCTGGTCTTCTGAGCTCTGACCAGAATCTCTCACCAAGCTTGGCTCACAGCAATCCGGGGCTGCTTCTCCAGTGGACATCTCCAAACCTTTCCAAATACTCTCAGAAGCCAGTTCCAGAGGCTTCCAAACCATGTGATCAGGCAGCACCATAGCAGTGACCCAGCTACCCCCAGAACCTAAATCTATCGGAATTACTTTCTTGTGCCTCAGACCCCATACCTGAAATGTACTACTCTTAAAGGAGGAGAGATTTATTTGGGCTCATAGTTTGTAAAGGATTCAGTCTATAGCTGGCTGCTTCAAAACAGAGCAGTATGGCAGAAGGCCATGGCAGAAAGAGATCATAGCAAGATAGGCAGGAAACAGAGGGATCAAGGGAGGAGGAGGGATGGGTATTTATTTATTTAGCTTAGTTTGTAGAGGTTTCAGTCTGTAGTTGGCTGGCTCCAAGGCAGAGGTTTGGCAGAGGGGCATTGCAGAGTAGAACCTGTTCATGGCAGGCAGAAGACAGCAAAAGCAAACAAGCAAAAGACAAAACAATCTTCTTTCATTCCCTCATATTGTACTCAGGCTACCAGGATTAAGGTGGTTCCAAACCAATCAGTGTACTGATTTAATAATCACCCACCCTTAACCCCAGCATCATATACCCTAGATTCAGCCCGTTGTAAAAAAGCCCCACCTATGACCACATGAAGCTCTTTGGGAGGGGGGACATTTAGACCTAGACCATAACACCTCCCAACATATCAGCCAGCTATAAGCCCATCTGTGAACTAATCCAGTAATGATTGTGATCCAGTTGATACTGTGTGCTGGGCCCAAGCAACAGAATCCAGAATCAAGGCAAGCAAAGGTCTGCAAGTGCACATTCAACATTAAAAGGAAAAGCACTTATGGTTATTGAAGATACCAGGAAGGTGTGCTCAGGGCAGGCCCATGCCAACAGAAACAAAAAGGTGTCATGAAAAGAATAGGGAAAGGCACAGGTAAATCAGAGTTTCAGATTTTATAAGATGTGCCACTCAGTCCTGATGCCTCTCACAGTCGCTGGGTAGGACTGATGGAAACAACTCACAGGGTGCTGAGTGGCCCATCTCAGGGATATCTTCCTCCACTCCTCTGTCGGAGTTCAGTCTGATTTAATCACATGCATGAGAGGGGGTCTACACCCATGAACTTTTAACGAAGTTCGAGTCGGGAGAAAGTTACTAAAGGTCAGTCCAGGAGATCTAACATACACATGTGCTGGCCCAGAGCATTAGAGATTCTCTGGATTGGCTGGCCCTTGGGGTGTGGCCCAGATATAACTGGATGGAGAGGTCGTGGTCTGTGCTTCCTGGACTACAGTTGTGCCCCGAAAGCTCTGCCTATCAGCTTCTGATGCTTTGGGGGAGCATCTAGAAAGAAACTGAACAGACCTTAAGGGGGACTCGAGGTGCTGAGGATTTTAAAATGGGGCTGGGGTGTCAGGAGGGGCTAGTGCCCTTCCTTGGGCCACTCTTTCACGGCCGAGACCAAGTCCTCCAGGGACCTGGCTGGTCACCAGGGGTGGTGATGAAGGACATCCCTGTGGGGTTTCTGTTCCATGCCCACCTGCTTGCCTCCAGCTTCCCACCTGGAGCTAAATTACCGCAGCCCCACCTGCGCCATGCTTGCCACCTCCACCTCCAGGACTGGGAACCAAAATACACCTGTGTTCTTCACGAGCTCCCCAGGCTCAGGTTCTCTGTCACACCAGCAGAGAGCAGACTGTGACAGGCTCTCTTGGACCTCGGGGGTGCAGGCTGACACAGCCTGTGTTACTAGGTCACTGTAGCTCAGGCCAAGCCTGGCCCCATACCAGGCCCATTGGCCAACTTCTGTCCTCAGATTGTGCAGCTGCGCTGTGCCCCCAGGGTCCTCCCCAGCCAGTATCCCTGGCTCTGCTGGGCAGGCAGTCATGGCTACTCCTGAACCACCTCTAAGGGGAGTGGTCTGGGCCACGTGATCCGTGTAGAAGGTCAGGGAAGAAAATACTTTGAGCCTTTGTGGGTCATACATGTTCTCTGGTGCAGTTACTTGCATTCATTCATTCATTCATTCATTCATTCATTCAAGATAGAGTCTTGCTATGTAGTTCAGGCTGGCCTCAAACTCATAGGGATCCTCCTGCCTCAGCCTCTGCATGCTGGGATTACAGTCCTGCAGCATCACATCTGGAAATTTTCACCTTTTGGTTGGTTAAATGGAGGTAGCACATACCATCGAATGATCTTCATGCTAACCTAACATCGGTTTAGCAAAGCACCGGAAGGAGCTCCAAAGCTTCAAACACAGAAAAGACAAGGAAGAAAATGTTAGCGACCCTGAGCTGATGAGCTCGCTTCGTATACACAGGATGAGACAGTGCGCTGAATTACAAAGACCATAAAGTTAAATAAAGAATCTCTTTTGAGGTAGGGTTGCACTATGGAGCCCAGGCTGGCCTCAAACTCATGGTAATCCTTTTGTCTCGGCCTCCTGAGTACTGGAATTACAAGCGTGTGTGGCTTAAAAAATGCTTTTGATGAGTCAAAATTATTTTAAATTGGTGACATATATTTTATTTTTTAAAATCATATGAAAATGTTTTTCCTCTGGTTTGCCCCCAAGTTGTTTTCTTTCTTTTTTTCATTTTCTTTTTCTGTCTATCTTTCTGAATTCCTTCCTTCCTTAATTCCTTTCTTTTTTGAGACAGAGTCTCTCTATGTAATTCAGGCTGGCCTTGAACTCACTATGTAGCTCCAGTTGGCCTTGAACTCACCGCAACCCTCCTGCCTCAGCCTCCCGAGTGCTGAGATTACAAGTGTGCGTCATCAGGCCCAGCTTGCTTGTTTTTCTTTTGGGAGATAAGATCAGGAAAATTGCCCAGGCTGGCCAGGAGCTTGTTGTCCTGCCTCAGCTTCCCAAGTACCTGGGATTACAGCACACCCCAGCCACTTTCCTCTGGTTTTGGCTTCTTTTCTTCTTCTTCCTCTTCCTCTTCCTCTTCCTCTTCCTCTTCTTCTTCTTCTTCTTCTTCTTCTTCTTCTTCTTCTTCTTCTTCTTCTTCTTCTTCATCTTCTTCTTCTCCTTCTCCTCCTCCTTCTTCTTCTTCATCTTCTTCCTCTTGTTCTCTTTTTTCATTTGTGAGAATAACTTTAGATATCCTTTAAGTGGTTTTCTAAGAGATTAAGACATTCACGTAGATTTCAGTTCTTGAATAGAGGTCAAATATTGTTTTACAGTGTCCTTTAATCCACTTCATTGAGTTCTGCGGCACCGGGCTGGCACTGCAGCTCAGCAGCAGAGCCCTTGCCCTGCACGTGTGAGACGCTGGGGTCTAAACCCCCAGCAGTGCAAAAAGAAAAAAAAATTACAACATGAATCAAATAGTAACGTCACATAGGACATTCACATTCATGCCAGAATATATTTGTAATTTTGTAATTTTTTCCCCAAGTGCACTCAGCGTCTCACACGTGCTGGAAGAGCCCTCTGTCGCTCACCTGCATCCCTAACCCCTGCCTTTCTTCCTCTTTGTAAATCTCGAGTCTTCCAGAGTTGCCCAGAATGATCTTGAACTTATGACCCTCCTCCCTCAGCCTCCCATGTCGCTGCAGTCACAGGTGTATCCCACTAAAACCCAGCTTGTTTCTAGTATGAATTTTATCATTAGCATGATCATTCACCTGGAGTTCATTTTGCTTACCTAATAAAGAATAAAATAACTCCCCAAAAAGGGTCTGTGTATTTTCTAAGCACTTACAAACATCAGAGAAAAAAACCCCACAGTGTGCAGTGAACACAGATGCTTTCCTTTCCAGATCCTTGAGGGGCCTCCCTGGGGAGGGCTGCAGGTGAGAGCTGGGCTGCTGTGTCCCTCTCGGTCCCCTGAGCCGTGAGGAGTGGCCGCCTGGTTTGCGGAGGGACAGGCAGGGAAGAAAGCAGTTGTGTTTTCCTTGGTGGCAGACAACGGGCTGGAGCGGAGGACGGAGCTGCCTAGGAACAGCGCTCAGGCTCAGAGCATGGAATCTGCCTCAAAAGCCACCGTCTGGGAGCCTGCTGTGGGGGCAGCTGCCGGTCACCCCAGCACACTTGCAAGGCTGAGGCAAGAAGATCATAAATAGCCGTCCCACCTGGAGGAGCTAGTGAGCTAGTGTGATCGCGTCTGGAAGGAAATGACAGCAAAGGGCCGAGGAGGTGGCTCAGTGCGTGGGCCCAGGCTCAGTCTCCAGTACCAAGACGACAACAACGACAACCAAAACCAAACTAGAGCAAAAGAAAACAAACACTGGCCGGAGCACCTGAGGAATCCGAGGAGGTGGGCAAGGCCAGCGGACACAGAGGGGGCAGCTCCTGGAGTCTGAGCACCGGGCCTGCCTGCCATGGTGAGTGGTGTGGGAGAACCCGGGGGGGAAGCCAGAAAGCCTAGATGTCTTAGCGAAGTGTGTGGGAGCTGGGAGATGACATGAAGACCCAGTGGGGAAAAGAAGGGCACCTCTCGGGTTAGCTCCTTGGCCCCCCGACAGGTGCTCCTGGCAGAACCTTCTTCCCACCATGAGGGCAGCAGTGGCATCTTCCCCTTGGGATGCTGGGGGCTGACGGGACAGATGGGGAAAACAACATCACAGTGGCAGGTGTCCAGTGGACAGGAGCTGCCACCGCCGCACCCAGCAAGAACCCCGAGATCACAAAGGCTACCCCAGGGTCAGGCTGTGTACTGCAGCACCAAGGTCTGAACCTCACTCTGCTGGGTTTGGAAGCCAGACACAGGACCTCCAGGTGGCCTAGGAATGGCACCCTGCACCTGTCAGTGTCCCAAGAGGCCAGCAAACCCACTCTCTATCCAGAGATGAGCCAGAAGTATGTAAAGGGAGGGGATGGAGCTGAGAAAGGAATCCCAGACATCAACCACAAGACCAGGGTAAACAAGGGGGAGGTGACCACACCAGTCCTGGGCGTGGGAACTGGAGCCCCAAGGACAGCCTGGGCATCTGCCTGTGCCCCACCCAGGAGCCAGTTTCAGGAGTCTGGCTGGTGCAGCCCAGAGGGATTGTGACCATGGGCAAGCAGGAACAAGGGACAGGTAGGATCGGAGGTGAGGCACTGGGCCAGGTGCTCGAGCTGCTCCTGTGATGGTGGCACAGGACACAGCTCGCTTCACCCCAGTTCAGGCTGGAGAGCAAACAGCCAAGTGGGGGTTGGGCCTCCAGGGAACCGGCCTTCCCAGAAGGACAGGGCACTCTCAGAGCCAGTCCCTACCAGGGTGGCATGGTCCTAGGCAAGGAAAGGGGCAGTCAGGTTCCCAGAGTGACTGTCACACAGCTGGTGTTATTTGTCCCATTTTACAAAGAGGGAAACTGAGGCTCAGAGAAGGGAATTATCTGCCAAAAAACAGTGGATCCAGCACTGACAATAGTAACAGCCAGATCAGGTAGAGGGGCATGGCTGTAATCCCAATTAGTCAGAGGCTGAGGCAGGATGTTATGTTCAAGGCCAGCCTGGGCAACTTAGTGAGACCGTGTTCCATAATAAAATGTAAAAAGGGGACGTAACACAGCAGTAGGCACTTGCCTCGTGAGGTCTGGGTTCAATTCCCTGCACTGAAATAAAAAGTAACAGCCCATAATTACCTGACATTCTGCATTTGCCTGGCTCTGTGGCAAAACGTTTATAGCTAGGAAATTATTTATCCTACACAGACTCCATGAGATACTGTTCTCCCCACTTTGTAGGTGAGAAAATTGAGGCCCCATTGATACTGAGAAGACTGCCGAAGTCACAGGGTTACCAAACAGCAGAGGCAGGACTTGCACCCTGGACGGCCCAGGTTCAAAGCCAGGCTCTTGAATTTCAAGTCAATATTGAGTAAGGGAGACAAAGGAGATGGCTACGCCCTTGTAAAGGGAACGGTCCAAGAGTGAGACTTTTGTTATTAAACCCTATTTGCCCCACAGCTTGCAAGACCCTGCCTGTGCCCCCAAAACCCCAAGGAGCACTACCACATGGAGCCAGAGTTTGGGGAGCCAGTCCTTTGCGGGTCATCTTCAGGGGGTGTCCAAGGTCCAGAAAGGTGACCCTGGTGTCAGGACGCTAATGCTGAGGACAAGCAGCTGTGTCCTTGATTACCAGCAGCTTCAGTCTTACGGGGCCCGCCAACTATGGCTCTGTGCCCAGCCCGCTGCCCACAGATACTTTGTTCTGGACCCTGGTCGGGGTCTGGATTGTGACTTCCATAAAGCCCAGCTCCCAGGCAGGCCCTGCGAGCACGGGGTCTCCTGGCAGGAGCCGCCTACCACAACCGACCCATAGTCCCTGTAGGGCGGCTCCCCGGTGGTGACTCACTCGGCTGGCCCGCTGGTGACTCAGTCCTGCCCTGCCACACACAATCCCCACCCTTCCAGCTCCTTCCCCATGCCCTGGCACACACAGATAGAATTCCAGGAACTGAGCTCCAGCTGGTTTTAATCCAGAGCTCACTCCAAGTGGATTCTGGGAAGGTTCCGGTCCCCTGTGACCCAGGACGATGCTGCAGATGCTGGAATCCTGGTCACTGGGGGGATGGTCTTCACTGACATCCCTTGCATGGTGTTAACAGATGGTGATTCCGAGAGCTGAATGCGGGAAAGGAAGCTCGGGGGACTCCCGCCAAGCAGAGAGCCCACGAGTTATCTTATGGAATCCCACAGCCACGCTGCTAGCAGCTGATCTCATGTCAGGTTTCACCCCAACTTAGTGCAGCCATGCAGAGGCTTGGCAAGGTCAAGGTGCTGCACAAAAACCACTCAGGATGCAGGTGCCATGGCCACCTCTGTCCACTGCCTACATAGCCAGCCCTCTGTAGTGTGGCTCCACATCTATGGGTTTGACCAGATATGGATCAAAAGTATTTTTTAAATCATTTCATTTGTACTACACGCGGAGTCCTTGTCCGTGCCATTATTCCCTAAGAAATGTAGTCCAACAAGTGTGTCTGTTGGGTTGGCTATTGTAAACAACCCAGAGAGGAGTTCAAGTGTACAAGAGGGTGAGCAGACGCTATGCAAATACAAATTGCTGTGTGCCACGTGCGCTCGCATCTATTGATTTTGTTATCTGTGCAGGTGCTGCAGCCAATGCTCCTGGGCGCCGGGGGTTACTGCAAAGTTACACAAGAAACTCGGTCGAGGTTATGAGGTCCACTTTACAGCCGCAGCCGCCAAGCGGATAGCCCAGAGAATGATTTCAGGACAAGTGCCCCTGAAAAGAGCCCCACCATGGCCGATAAATGGTCCTTGGAAACCCACTGGACCCTGACCCATGCCATCCCACAAACACACGACTCCAAATGGATTCCCCCTGGCACTGATGGGGGATGCCTGGGAAACGCTGCCCTTGGCAACTCGCAGTCAGGATCTAATGACTGAGAGGGGAGAGAAGGTTAAGGGGCAACTAACTCAGAGAAACCCGGACAAAGGCAACTCAGGGTCCCTGGAGAGACACCTCTGGGGCAGGAGGGGCGGGGTTTCAAGGGGTGGCCCTTAGCTCCTTGGTCCTGGTTTGACTGGCTCAGGCTCCAGGAGGACAGCCAATCAGGTGCGTAGGGTGGACACGGGGGGGGGGGGCAGAGGGTGGGAGGCAGGGACTGACCTCTGCTGCAGACCCCACAGGGCTGGGCAGTGTCAGGGAGTCTGCGCTGACAGGGACACTGAGCTCCCCATCCCAGGCTGATGGGGCAAGTCCAGCAGTGCGGCCAGGCTGGTCTGAGCTGCAAACAGCTTTATGCTGGCTTTTCACACTGCGGGCCCCCAACCAGCCGGTCGGTTGTGAAATCAGTTCAGGGGTCTCCATCACAAGGGTTTTACAAAGAAAGAAAACAGAGCAGAGAAGATCATAGTGCCTTTTGAGGACTACAGGGAAATGTTTTGTGAAACTTCTGCTTGGTTTAGAGTTGTTACATGCCACCGAGTGAGGACTGCGTTTCTCCTTGGGATTGAGAACACGCAGCACAAAACCGAAAGGGGAACCAGTCAAGTCCAGCAGCTGCGCAGTGCGCCTCAGGGCCACCTGGGGGGCTGGCCAAGCAGAGTGCTAGGCGCACCCCCTTTCCAAATTAGTAGGACTGGGGGGGACCTGAGACTTTGCATTTCTAAGTAATTTGCAAGTAATGTTGAGGAGCCAGGGGATGAGAGGGTACCTAAGGTCCTGCAGGACAGAACATGTGGCAGCTCTGGCACATGTGTGTGTGTGTGTGTGTGTGTGTGTGTGTGTGTGTCTGTGTGTGTCTGTGTGTGTCTGTGTGTAGGAGGGGTGTTGCTCATACACTGCGCAGGTCAGGAGGTTGGAGCTACAGGCTACCAGGTTTTGATCAACATAAGCCAAGACTAAAACTCCAGAAGTAATCAAATTTCACCTGACTCCAGACCACCCCTGCCTTCCTGCTTGGGAACAGCAGGGCAGGCTTCCTCCTTTGGGAGAAGGACGGAGCAGAGCTGGGCTCCTGGCTCCCTTCCAAGTGCCCACCTCCATCTGCTTCGCAGCAGCACCTCGTGGCTGCTGTTTAATAGGATCAAGGGTCTTTGCCTGATTGTTCAGGAGCCCTAGATGTCACTGGAGGGCCCAGGCTGCTCCCACTGGGCAGGGCACCCTGGACCCCAGGCCCAAGAGCTCTCAGACCCCAGCTCTCTGTGGCTGCCCTGCCCTATAGGCCTGAGTCACCACACACCACATTTGTTTCCCATGCACCCCATCCTCTCACCCCTTCCCCTCACCTCACCTACATGGTGCTTGGGACCCCACCCAGAACACAGGGAAGAGTGGAGCAGCAGCAGACACCCCTTGGGCTAGGGGTGGAGGTGGCAGGTGAGGCCACAGCCTTCAGCAAGGGTCCACTCTATCCCTACTGTTCAGCGCCATCTCCCCAAGGGGGAAGAAGGAAAAAGCAGCCCTGGCACTCTGTCCCAGCAGGGACACCCACCACACTCCCAAACCTGCAGATGGAGTCCCAGGAGAGCTCTCTACAGTCCAGGGGCTGGGCCTGGGCCTCCGGCTCACACTACCAGGCCTGCCCTGAGAAGACCAGCCCACCCAGGTGTGGCTAAGAATCAGTGTTGTCCCAGAGATGCCTCACCTTCCCTGCCCCACCTCTCCCCAGCATCCCAGATGCCATGGTACTGACCTGGTCTTTTGACCCCTGGGAATTAGAGGTATGTGCCAAGCCCAGGGCTGCCCTCTCCCCCTGCACCTCAATCTTCACCTCATGCAGGAATCTTCCCCACAGAAGAGAACCCCCCAGACCTGCCTGGCCGGCTGGCCCTAGCCTCCTCCTCCTCAGCAGGTCCTGCTGAAACCAGCCACCTCCTCCCTGAGCTGTCAACCGCTGTGACCCCTGACCCCTCACTGCACACCAGCCACCGCCTCAAACCAGAGAGCACTCACACAAGATCACCTGTACGAAGCAGCACCCTTAGGGGCCCTGTGGGAAGATCCCAGGCCTCACAAGGATGTATTCTCAGAGCCCACTCATCCATGGACTTTAGAAATGACCATTCCCTACCACATGAAAATGTCTTCAACAGAAAAGCACCAAACCCAAATAGAAGGCTTTACATTCTTTGTTTCTTTTTGTATCCTAAAAAAAAAAAAAAAAAGTTAGACTTCCCTATAACTCGTAGTCTCCAGAGAATGGTTCCTCAGAAATCCTGGCCTGGAGGATGCTGCTGGCCCTCCATGAGGACCCTCAAGGATGGAGCTCCCACCTAGTCCTGCAGCCCTCACTGGCCGGGAGCTCTGGCCCTGCATGGCAGCTGCACCTGCTGTTGAAGTTTCTAGAAGCTCACAGTCGCTGGTGTGTTTCTGCTCCCCACAGTCCAGTCAGTCCTCCTGGGAAACCCTCCCCTACCGTCCTGCCCTAGCCCTCCACACCCCCAGTAGCAGTCTTTTCCCTGTGCTCCCGCCAAGCTTCAGTGCAGGGACACTCGGGGATAGAAGCTTCCAGGCTCTTCCTGGCAGGGAGAGACCCCTGTCCCTCCAGTCCTCACAGGTTCCCACTCATGTACCACTGAGGACATGCTGAGCAAGTAGTTCCTGTGGATTTTCCCATGCTGACTTCTAACAACCCAAGGAGGTGAGTGTCCCATTGCTCAGGGAGCAAATTGAGGCTCAGGAGGGGGTGAGGAGGTTGGTAAGCACCTGAGCAAGGATGGGGCCAGCCATTCCCTACTGCCCCAATCTCTTGGCACCAACAACAACCAAGACCTCTATAGAAGGAAGGTTGGATTCGTGCTATGGATGATTGGCTAGAGAGTAAGGTTACCACTGCTTTATTTTTTAAAGATTTGACAAACAAGAAGCCTCACATATTTAAACCTTACAGCTTGATTAGTTTTGACACACTCAGCTACTTATAAAACCACCACCTCGTCAAAATGATTCCACCCATCACTCCTCAAAATCCTCTGATCCTCTTTGCAGTCCCTCCCTGTCACCACACCCTGTCCCAGGCAACCGCGATCTGCTTGTCACTGTTGGCTGAGGAAATATTGATCTGTTTTCTGAAGTTTTATACACAAGAGAACAAAATAGCCAAGCACAGTGGTACACACCTGTAATCCCAGCTATCTGGGAGTAAGGCAGGAGGACTTCAAGGTTGTGTCCAGCCTGGATGATTTAGTACACCCTGTGTTCTAAAAATAAAAAGGGCTTCGGATGTACCTTAGTGATACAGTATTTTTCTAGGATGCATACAGCATTGGGTTTGATCCCCTGTACTACACAAAACAAAAAGAGGTGTGTGGGGGAAGGTTACAGAATGATGTAGTATCACTCCTTTTTATACATTTTTTGGGTGTTCTTGGCTTCTTTCACTCAGAATTCCCATGAGTAATTCTTTCACCCACATTGCCCATATAGACGGTTCATTTCTTTTTATTGCTAATAACCTTATACAGAATCCCTGTTCCACAGGTAGTTCATTCTTTTGCCCATGGATGGAAAGTTTTAATTGCAAATAAAGCTGCTCTACACAGTGGTCTGTGAACATATGCCTTCATTTATTTCTCTCACATAAAGATGTAGGAGTAGAATATGAGATTGCAAAGTAGTTGCCTATACACATTTTTAAGAAGCTGCTCTGCTTTTCCCAAGTGGCTGCACCACTCTGTACCCTGACCATGGTGAGCTAGAGTTCCAGTTCCCACCTATCATCACCAACACTATGTATGGTGGGTCTTTTCCATCTTAGCACTTCTGATTGGTGTGTAATGATAAGGTACTGCAATTTTAATCTGCAATTCCACATGGCAGACCATTTTCCTGACTTTTACATTTGTAATCTAGAACCCCCACACCCACCCACCCCCACGCCACCCCACAGACTGTGTACTAAGCACTGCCCTGACCCCACCTCCACAACGGCTCCTTCCCGTGCTCAGCACCGGGTCTGCATGCTCAGCACTGGGTCTGCCGCCTGCAGGCTGAGAAAGACAGAAGCTGAGTCACTGAGAGACACACAGCCAGCAGGGACCTGTTCCAGGTCCTAGGGTGCTGCTGGCCAATTTCTTCAACAGATGGCTCTCTGAGGAGAAAACCAGGCACCTTGGGCCAACAGCCAAGAATGTGCGAGACAGAAAGGCCTGGTCCACATCCACGTGGAGCTCTGTGGGCTGCCAAGAGCACTTGCCTCTCTGCTCCATCCTCCTGTAGTGTGGCACAGCCCGGGTCCGTGGTCCATCCTCTCGCAGGTCCCAGTTAGGTCCCTCTGTGCACCTGAGTCCTGTACCATGTCTGTGACTATGCATGACTCTGAGCACTGGTGTTGAAAATCAGCAACCTTTGCATTAGGGAGTCGGCCCAAGTCCAGTCCTCTGACCTCTGAGCCTGGTACTCTTAATACACACGTGCTGCTGGCAAGAGGTGCCCGTCAGCTCTGGCTCTGTTAACCCCCGAACAGGAGCCTCCCTTTGGGTGGGCATGGAGCAGGCCATGGTGCAGGACCTGGGGACATGGGTTCCAGTGAAGGCTCTGCCACCAGTTGGCTCCTGGACTCCAGTCTCTCCACTGCTGCAGCAGGAGCAGCAGTTGCCAGCTGACTGCTGTGCCCAGCAGTGAGTGAGCTTTTCTTTGGAGAGAAGGGGCATATCTTTGTTACTTTTCTCATTGCTGAAACAAAATACCTGACACCCAAAATTAAAGGAGGAAAGCTTTACTTGGCTCATAGTTTGTGGAGGTTTCGGTCCATAATCAGCTGACTCCAAGGCAAGGTGGTGTGGCAGGGGGATCACAGAGGAGAAATAGCTCATGGTGGCAGAAGGTAGCAAAGCAACATGGGTTCACCGCAGCTCTTTCTATTCCTTGTACCTTATTCCAGACTACTAAGCACAAGTAGCACCCTCCCTCTTAATCCTAGTGCCGTTGATCCTAGCATGGCACCAACGTTACATGCTCAGACCCAGCCACCTCTGAAAAAGCCCCATCTACAACCGCATGAGGTCTTATGGGCACTTGGACACTGCTGTGATGGGACATGGCTGCTTCTCCAGGGCCACAGGAAGCAGGGGAATGTGCTGCAGGCAGCCTGCCCAA